CTGCTGAATGATTCACAACATTTCACTGATGGACAGCTGGTGGCAGTAATGTGCCAAGAAATGTAACAATATGCCAGCAGAGGCAGCGAGGGAGATTGGAAGCTAGCAAACCAGTTCCAAAATATTTGAAAAATGGACTTTGCAAATATTTGAAAAGGAGGGAAATGCATTTAACATATGTGTTGTTTTGGGGAGAATTTTCTCGGTGCTCTTCTCACTGGAGGCGGCGTGGCTCAGTTTGAAGCAGGTCATGCCATGTATTTTTGTGCTCCAGAATTTTCTGAGGGTTAAACTCTTGATAAACATTACTTAAACAAGTCAGGTTTCAGGGGCTTCAAAGACTGTCTAGGTGTGTCAATGTGCTCGCATGTCCACGTGTATGACCATGTGTGTGTGTGTTTTTGAGCGCTGTTCCTCCTGTCTTTAAGACCAGCCAGGTGTCACTCAGCACGGTCATTCATTACCGTGGTAACCTGGCCTGAACCTGGCAGGCGCTTACTTCCTGTCACTGATACTTCCCCTGACCTTCAGTCTGTGCCAGCGCTACTCCATCGCTCTCTCTCTCTCTCTCTCTCTCTCTCTCTCTCTCTCTCCACACACACACACACACACACACACACACACACACACACACACACACACACACTTATTTTACATGCACACTTTCTGATCCTTGTGGCTTTGCCTGTTTCCTGTACAAACCATAACACACTCTTTTCAGGACAGCTTTAAATTTAATAAGGCCTTTGTTGCAAGACACTTACCCCTCCTCTAAAAAGTTACATACTGGAAGTCAGGGAGTAACTAACACCTTTACAGTCTTCTTACTACTACAAAACCAAGAAACATTCTGATGTGACACAACTTATGAGGTGTCCCAGTGGAGCAGAGGCAAACATCCCCTCAGCAGCACTGCACTTTGGCCAAGTGTTCAATAAATCCCCTTTTAGACGTGACCCCCTTTACTTTAATCTTATGGCAACTTAACATGTTGCTCTTGTGTCCGAATCAGTGCTCGAGCAGCAAGCGACTTATATGTCCATGAGAAGAGGCACACGATAGTCTACACCCTCCTGGCTAATGGCGAAGTCAGGGATTGCGGTACACATTAAGAGCTGGCCATTAACACTAGGAATCATCTTGCAGGGCACAAACACGGTCATGTGCAATCGAGTCCATGCACATACATACACATTTACACTTGTGCACCCGTCCGCAGAGACTCCTGCGCAGGGACACACGCTGCAGAGGGATCAGCTTCCTCGCTGCAACATGAGGTGGCATCTTTAATGGCTGCTGACATGGTGTGATTTCCTTCTCTCAGATTCCTCGCACAGGATTCTTTCCAGGCTGCGGGTCAAGTGAAAGCACTTCAGGAGCCGACCTGCACGTGTACGCAGACGGTTATATCCACTGCCTTTCTTTGAAAAAGTACTTTTGGCTTCAAAAGTACATTGTGGAGAGGAGGCAGAGGCTTCACACATATTCTTATTGCTATCCTGCCTGCTTTGTGCTGTACCGCCAGCCCCCACAGTGAGCCCACTGCTTAGTGCATCTTTACACAGCCAGTTGCTGCTGCCAATAGCACCTCATCCTCTATAAAGATGATGCATATAACTTTACGTGTTTAATGCTTTATTCTTATAACGACTGTTTGCTTGTTTGAAAAAACTGATATAAAAAAACGTATCTTCCACCTTGGGATCAGTAAAATCTTATCTCATCTGAAATGTGCCAATAGATTGAAACAGAAATGACATAATAGACTTTCTGATTTACAGTTCTGAGTGCCTTGGCTGAGGCAACCGCATGCTCCACACCATGTCATCCACAATTAAGTCAGTGAGATAAAGGACAGATGACTGTGGAAGCTTTCAGATTTGGCCTTACCAGCCTCCTGTCTCCATGGCAACCAATCCCTGAGTAGCAAGGTCTGCGATGGGACAGCAGGAAATGCAAACCCTGTATGGTTAGTAAACCAGATTTGAGGGTTACTAATGGTTACATCATCGGTGTGAGTCAGAGATCGGTTCGCTCAGGTGTCGTGTGCACCCAGATACTCAGCCATCTGTCACTATGGCTCTCTGAGGTACTGCGATCTGCCGCTAAGTTTAGTGGCCGTGCCACATTGGAGTGCTGTCAGAACACGAGGAGAACTGTGGTAGTTTCACACAGAGGGCCATGCATTAAAGGGTAAAGCTGGTGTTGTTCAACAAATCCCATGAAAAAATCAAAACCACTTCTGTGGCCCAAATCTATTTATTCCTACTGAGGACACCAATCTTTAAAAATTTTGTTTTGTTGACTATTTTTAGCCACAGATTAATTTGCATTTTGGGTGAGAGTGAGTCAAAATAAACTACTGTGTGTTTATGGTAATGAAAGAACATGTGACCCAGTGCAACAGTTAGTGTGTACACTAGTATCCTGGTTAAGAGCAGGTTTTTGGAGTATCCTGGTCATGTTCTGTCCATGCAAACAGCTTGTCCTGCTTTCAGAAATCTGAATATGCTACCTGGAGGACTCCTAAACTGTGGCATGTAAACACCATATCCAGGTTTCTAACCTTCTCTGTTTGTATAGATGAGACAACAAAACACTCCAGCAGACAGACAATCAGAAACCTGGATACCATTATGATCATGTAGTCTATAAAGACATGAAATATGAATAAGCAGGTTTCTCATGTTTCATGTAAATTGCTGTTGTTTCATGTCCCGAATATGATTAATATGATTAAAAAACAGGATCAGACTCAAAACCAGGATACTAGAACACATGTAAACACATTCACTGTGGCTCACTGATGTGTTTTCCTTTTTGAAATTTTTTTATTGACTTTAATTGATAACTACAGCTGAAGAATGACAGGAATGGGGGGAGAAAGAGAAATTACCCGAACTCTTCATTTATGAGCTCAGTAAACAGTTTCCTAACAAGTTTATGGTCTCTAGTATTCTTCCATACAGCATGATGTTCATGCTCCGCTGGCTGGAGCAAACTGTCATGGCAACAACCATATTGTCAAACTTAAGGGTGGCGTCACGATAGGTTTACACTTAGAAAAAACTAGATTTAGTTTTTGAGTATAAAAGTGTAATATTTGAAATATTTGCAATAGTTGCACACAATGAAAATATTTAATTCAAACACCATCACCTTGTAGTATAATATAGTATCAAACTCTGATTATACAATGGTGAAACAGAAACTACTGAATGTGAAAAATGAAAGAGACAAAATATCGCAATATGCATCGTCGAACCAAGACAGCCTGTCAAATACTATTGTCTACCTCTATCTGACACCACAAAGAAAGCATCGCTCCCTCCTGCCACTTCCTTCACCTCAGTTTAAAGAAGAAGGAGTCATCGTTTGGAAAATGATGATTCAGTTTGTGCTGCATCGTTGATTAAAAAAGCCAAAAGAAGGTACAACTATCGACCAGGGACAAATAGGTGAGTATTGGCTTCCTCTGCGATGTTATGCTCACATTGATGTGTCTACACTGACACATATGAAAGTGATAGTGGGGGGGGGCAGTTGCATAACGTGGTTGATCCTCTTCTTGCCAAAACTCTCGAACTTCTACCTGTGCACATATGTCCTCTTCACACTTATGTCACTCCTGTTTATTTATGCTCATGTGTACAGAGCTGTACATCTAATGAGTTTCACTGTTGTTTTCATTTATGGTTTTTGAATGTTTAAGAAAACAACATCAGATGGTACCTACTGTTTCTGTTATGGTGATGACTCAGCTCAAAGTCTGGCAATACACCAAGGCAAACAGACTGGTTTCCCCTGAAATATTCACTGTGCTCCTAATTACACGTTTAGTGTGGTGGTGTTTATTTGCTGTGCTGGTACACAGCTCACACTGACCGGTTCTGCCAGGGAAAAAAGTAGTGTGCAAGCTATTTATATATTATATATAAATTATATATTTATATAAGCCTGCAACGACTGTGTGCTGAATTCATTTAAAGAGCTATTCATTTTTGTTGTGCACAGGTTGAATGTTCAGCTATAGCCTTGTGCATCCAAATCACAATATAAGAGTGTTAAGAATCTGGTAATTCCCTCCATGGCTGCCATACTGCTATAAAGAGACACTAGAGCAACACATTTCACTGACTTTCAGTGGGGACACTTCCACTATTGGACTACACTGCAGCAGACCAGCACTGTGACAACTTTGTGAGGACCTTGTTTGTCACTTCTGAATAAACGTCCCTGAGCCCTTTTACCAGTATCTCCATCAGGACAAGATAGAAAGGTTGCTAAGCAACTGGAACCTAGCAGCATGTTTCTTTTCTCCAATTAAAAGACGAAACCTGCCCCAAGAGGGAGCAGAAATTCACTGATGAATCTACTAATTGCTCATGTCCACAAAGACCAAATAATCTTTTCCACCATGCTGTTATTGTGACAACTATGTCTCAGTCAGATAATACGGATTTTTGTGTCTGATACATGTAACTATTAATCAGGATTTACATTTCAAAATAACCATTATATCTGATGCTATATTGTATATTTTATTTAATACATTACATATTTTTGTGTTATATGTTCGCCCCCTTTATGTGTCTTTATGCCTTTGTTAAATTGTCCCTTTTTTCACTCTTTTGAACCTCTTTATCTGTAACTTCCTTCAAAAAAAAGTTATTAAAGCTTCAGTAATTATCTTTTCTAAAAACAGCTTTTGGTCATATTTTCTTACTGTACGACCATGTAAAAAAGGAGTGCCATCTGTGGAAACCTAGTGCCCCCTTGCTGAAAATTGTCTGGCACCAGCACTGATGATGTAGCTAAATATCAAACCAATACCTTGGTACGTGACATTTTAGTGGTTGGAAGGATATCTTGCAAAAAAAAATGCAAACCACAGTGTGGATTTCTTTCCTAAGTAGTATCCACCATGTTCAAAGCACACAGGAAGCAGATTAAGGAATTTTAATCATATGTAATGTTAGTCTCTACATCCGTTTCCTTACCACTCCGATAGAGAAGTAGTTGTTGACGATGCTGTAGGGCACAGGGTCTCCCTTCTCCTCCTTGTCATCGGGGACGATGTCTATGTTCCAGCGGTCCAGCACCACCTCTGTGCTGTGCTCGATGTCCCGGAGGAACTTCAGCAAACTGCCACCCTCGTAACCTGCCAAGAAAAGGTTCAAATACAAGATAAAAACAACAGAAAGGATATTTAATGTGCCCAAAATTACACCCCTGTCCAATTTTGTCTACTTGGTTTGCTCCAGTTAGTTTAAATTCAGTCAGAGACATGTGAAAGACAATTTTTAGGTTATGGTTAGAAGTTTGAGGGAGCTCTCAAAGAATCCCAGCTGTTATGAGGATTCTGCTGAAAGAGTTAATCCTCCTTAATAAACATACATGAAATCAACAATATTTGTTATACACATTCGGGATAAAATAGAATGCCGACTTAAGTGAGAAAATTCAGATTAATTTCTTAAACTAAATTGAATCTATGCAAATGTGAGCTTATGTGAGCGCAACCTGGCAGAGGTTTTGATCGGTGGCTCCTGAAATTATCCTCTTGCCCAATCCGTATTTAAACGCCTACATTAAACTGGTGAAATGGTGGATTATATGGGTTCAAACATGAAACACAATGGCGCTGATTAGGCTGCCATTTCATAGAGACCGCCACCCCCACCACCTCCGAACCTACATGGCCCAGGCCTGACAGCACCCCAGGGAGCCCTCTGGTTATGCTCTGCAGCTGACGGCCCGCTTCAGCAGCCAGGCATCTTAATAGTGTTCAGGTGGCGGAATTATGTTCCAAAGATGTCATGAGGGCGTGAGGCATTAATGAGTACCACCACACTGGGAGCATCATGTGTGAAATACGAGCATGTTTGCATATACATACTGGTACGCTTAAGAAATAATAGCAATTTCAAGAGAGAACAATTTCCTTTCCATATAAAAAAAAACAATTGTCCCTTTCCTACTGGAGCCCTCACCACATTTAATCTGAATGTGTGCATGCATTCACACACACACATACGCCTTGTATCATACGCACTGTGTATCACACACTGAAGAGCCCTTTAATAGTTTCCTACAAATGACGGCATAAAACATCAATAGAAGCTTTTGTCACAGCCATAAATTCAAACATAAGAAACTCCTTTGTAACCAGTCTAACAAGACTTAAATGAAATTTACAGAACGCTCCTCTGAGGCACAGGTATATGGTCCTTGGCCCGTAGACCCTCTGCCTCTGTCGTCTCCTAATCCTCGTTCCCATCTACAACTCTGTTTTACTGCATGTGAGTAAATGCATCAATATTCATGTTGATATTATATATTATATATCATATTTATACAATATATTATCATTATATTAATAATATTATATTATTATCATTATTATATATTACAAGTATTATTATTATATATTATTTAACAATATAACAATAAGATATCATCTATTGTATGTATATCTTCTTGTATAGTCGAGTATCTATTGTACATATGCTATATATCATATATTGTGTATATATATTACAGTATGTATGTATGCACACTTTGCACAGGCTGAATATATGACACATGTTTACATTATATCAATATTAATGTATAATATCTGTGTGTATACATGAATATCTGTCCAGTCATCATATTATATATACATATTATTATTATATTATTATAAATATTATTAATATTATCATCATTATATACTGTTATTAACAATAACACTACCATCATGTCATCAGTACTATTACCACCATCTTGCAACTACAACTCTTTGCACCTTAACTACCTATTTATCTTTTTTTATCTTTTCTATCTAAGTATGTTCCCTCTGGAGATTAATAAAGTCTATCTATCTATCTATCTATCTATCTATCGATCTATCTATCTATCTATCTATCTATCTATCTATCTATCTATCTATATTTTGAGGATGAGGCATGCTGCTGTGAATCCCTGTGTGTGTAGAAAGCAGTGTGTACACGTGTTGTGAACCTGCCTATGTAGGTGCATCTTACTAATGCGCCCTTTAAATAGCAGGACAATACAGCAACCTATAGCTTTCTGTTGGTCAATGGCACAATCACTTAGCAATAGCAATGCACCTGACCCCACCTCATTCTAACACCAACACACCCATGGGCGCACAGATGGGCGTAGCTAAGTACATTTGCTACTTCCACAACGTAAGTTAGGCGAGAAAATGCCACGTTGGTCAGAAACTAGCAACGCCACTTGCGCTGTGCAATAGGGCCTGGAGCCTAGCAGCTAGCAGCTCTGTAAGGCTGTACTTATGTACTAAAGCTGATGTGGTCATGCTAATATAGTCACAATAAAAATGCTAATGTTGACGTTAAGCAGCTATGTTTACATGTTTACCATCTTTTTTAGCATGTTCAAATGCTGACATTAGTTAATTAGCCCTAAAACACGAAGTTCAGCAAACACTGATAGGAACTGTCATTAGTTCTTAGGGTGACCACGTGTCCCGAAAAGTTCAGGAGAGTCCCAAATTAGGAGCATTTGTTCCAAATCATAAATCCCATCCTCTTAACCGTTAGTGATAGATATGATGAAGGAGCTAAAATGAGGGCTGTCTGTATGATGTGAGACTCGACTTGAAGGTAAAAATGTTGAGAAGGCCTGACTTGGTGACACAGTAATATTGACAAATGCTGCACTGAACCGACTGTGTATTTTGCAGCGCTGACAAATTGTCATGAATAATTAATAACATAATATATGCGTGACAAGCTGCTGTAATCAGAATAAAGAAGACTCTAAATTTAAATGAGACAAACCTTTCATTAAATTATCAATTAGTTTAGAATAAGTAAATTAGTATTTGTTTTTACTCTCTGAAAATGAAAATATTCTGATCAAATCCCTTGTGTAGGCTATAATTTCTGTTTTAAATTGCTAAAAATTACCTTTTCGTTTCGTGTTTATTAGACAATCATAAATAAGGGATTATTGCTGTCATTAAACCTGTTTTAAACTAGAGTGTGGATGAATTTGTAATGAAAATATATCTAAAAAAACTACAGTTTAATGACAATATTAACTGCTGAAAAGACTTTAAAAATGACTAGCATCCCTGTAAAACACCTGTGTGTATAGTTCATGTGTCTTCTCAATACACAGATGCGAAGCTTCATTCATCACTCAGAATATGTGACCATGTGATCACTCCCACCCCCAATTCCTCCTCTGGACACTGTGGATATCTGTACCAAATGACATGGCAATCCAGCTTATATTTCAGTCTGAACCGAACAAACTGTCTGACTAACATTGTAAAGAGCCAATGCATCGCTAAAAACTGACTACTCCACAAACGGATCCTCGCTCACTCTGTTTGCCAAGGTAAATATTCATGAGGCTAAATGTCTACAGGGACTCCAGCTCTTACTAATGTTTATTTCTAGGAAAGATGATCTATTCAACTAAAGTCCCAAAGCCCCCCAGACTTGGCAGCTTATTGACAAAATATCATTCATAAGCCTGGGTAAGTGCTCTGCTGGTCCTCCAAGCAGGAACGATCAAGCAGTCATAACCAGCCATTCTAATTACTGGCCCAAAGTACTGCAACAAATCAATGGCTGGCAGAGGATTTACAGCACAAGTGCTTTGCATATTAACAGTTTTTAATTTGACACATAAGGGCTCCCACTCTCGTCTTCCCAACTGTCATTTCCCCAAAACATGCACAAACATGCTTGCCTTGTGTTCTAGTGTGCAACTGAGACCCTCCCTGAAACTACAGTCTTTCTTTAAGCACTAAAATGAACTCTAGCAGAGTGTTTAGACTGCTGTCAAGTCAATCAACTAACCAAATTGAGCCGGTCCTGTCTTTAATGAACCAAGCTAAACTCTACAGATAATCTGATATCTTTTCCCTGAACGACAGCTTAAAATTTTGTTTTTCATTCTCATGATCTCATGTGGATTTGCCATTTTCTCATTACAAAGGACAAAACAAAAATTAACCCTTTAACATCAATATTTCCTCTTTTATTCCACCTCTTCTAGATGTCCATTTAAGCTATATGTTTACCCTGTATGAAATATTCAACCCAAGATGTATTTTTAATGACTGCATCGTTCCATCATGTGGAAGAATTCTACATGTTTTGTGCATCATTTTATACACATTCCCCACATACACGTTTGGTATCCTTGTAAACTGCAAATCGGTCAGGCGAGCAGCAAGTACTATGGCCTCCATTCCTGATTTAAATATAAGTTACTGTCTTGTTCCTCTACTAGTTGGTTTGCAATTGAAGAGTAAATCACATCCGTTCTGAACCGATTGAAGGGAAAGTGTATTGTGGGACACTAAACAACACTGCAAAACATTCAAATGACTGGGCTTTGTTGGTCTGGTTTAGTTATACTTTTTATTTTAAAGGTCCAGTGTGTAACATTTAGGAGGATCTATTGTCAGAAATGGAATATAATATTAATGGGTACGTTTTCATTAGTGTATAATCACCTGAATATAGGAATCACTGTGTTTTTGTTACCTTAGATTGAGCTGTCCTCCATGTTGAACCGCCATGTTTCTACAGTAGCCCAAAAACTGACAAAACAGGCCCTAGATATGGCCCTTCACGTTTTCCTGGCCACCTTAGTTTGTCCCACATGCTTGGAAGGTTGAGCTGTATTCAAATAGTTGCAATCTGCATCTGCATCGCTAGATACCACTCGATCCTATACACCGGTCCTTTAAATCTCATATAAATGTCTACCCAGGGACGGACATACAGTGAAAGACTACACAAAACATGCACACACACAAACACACACACACACACACATACACACACACAAATGATTGAGAGAGTGCCTCACCTCCCCCCCAGCGTAAGCAGCGTGCAAGGTCGTTCCCTGTGCCCAGAGGGAGGATGGCCACCGGAGGGTGCCTGGCAAAGTTGGCCTTATCTGCAAAGACAAAGACAAAATGATCAATCTTATACTAGGTTAGCTGAACAGTCCTTGAAACAACAGTTTGTAGCTAAGGAGATAAATTCAATTATTTAAATTCTGATTTGATTAAAACTTTCGTAGCTTTGGCAACTGTGCATGTTGGTTATAATAACTAGCTAATTCTTGAGATCTGATTCTGGGTAAAAATGTTTGCTCTTTCTATCAAAAAAGTTGTAGCTATTGGTTATTTTGTGATGTTCCAGCCATTAGTCCAGAGGATAGACAGGATGCGTACCTATACAGTCGAGGATCCAACCCACAGTGCCGTCACCTCCACAGGCAAGCACCCGGAAATCAGGGACATCATGGAAAAAGTTGAGCCTGAGAGGACAAAAGATCCAGTAGATTTAACCAACACATGCAGGTGCTTTAGAAAAGGTATTATTCTGACATTTTCTACACAACGCTCCTAAATCTCACTGTCAAAGTGCATTATTGGTGATGTATCCATTGACTGGGTTTCATAACGGTTGAGACAGGGTTTTTGTAATGATTCAATGAACTGAACTGAAAGGCTGATGGGCAGAGAGACCCAGGGAAAAGCAGGGAGAGAGAGAGAGAGAGAGAGAGAGAGAGAGAGAGATTGATCAATGTGTGCCCTCTCCAGCTGTGTTCACTACACTCCCTTCCCTAGAAACCATCGTCACAGAGTGGTCACAGAGTGTGTGTCCTTCAAAGGGACCTCTAATGTGTGTTGGGACAAAGGTGTCGACAGTAGCTTTCATCTCTCTCCACCATGAGACAGCTGCATACAGGCCGCCGACCCCTTTCACGCCAACCACCTGGTCCTGCACAGTAACGACTGTAGGCTCTCTAAACTATCTACTTCTTAAGATAAACATAATGTGGGTTGAACAGCGAATACTTATTAAATGTTACAGGTACAAGTTGCTCTTGTGATGTGGCAGCACTAACAAGATGTGCAAGTTCATTCCACATTAATGGATACATTTTAAATCTATAGTTTGCTTACTGTCAACAAAACCCCATGAAAGACTAAAACTAACAATGAATTGATCCTAGAAACAAGTATTTCCTATGTAGTCAAAGCTGATAGATCTTCTTCCTGTGTGCCATAGAGCTCCATTGTTATCCAAAAACACATCAATAAGCCACAAGGTTTGACTGGTTTCTTTATTACAATGAATCTTTTCATTGTGGTTCATTTTGCGTAAACTCACTGTCTGGCAGAACAGGTGTTTGTGTCTACCCCCGTGGTTCATACCAATCATCATGAGGAACCACTGGCAGCTATAGCATGAGCTACAGGTGTGGTCGCTGTTCCAGACCGTTTTCAGTGATGACTTCCTAGATGGTTCTGTGTAACAACCAGCTGTGTCCGGAAATATGAGAAACCTCTCTTCTAAAAAATTGATTTGTGACATATCTTACTATCTTCAGTGTAGAGACGTTGGAATGTATTGCTTTCCATCGCTTAGGCCGCATTCAGACTGGCTTTAGCTGTGTGTGTAAAATGCCAGCCCCTTATTCCTTTGAATAAGACCGGTCCGCAGGGTCATCCAGCAAAAAACTTACATTTTTCCCGGACTATAATGCGATATAATCTGGATTAGTGGGCAAACACATGATACATTTTTTATTGCAAACGCTGCATTTCTGCTGTTTATCTTGCCATCTTAGCGAAGAAAGATAGAATAGTTGACACCGTGATGACTTTTAAGACTTTTATAATCTTTGATAAACCACTGTTCTGTGGCATCTGCTAAGTCTTCATACTAATGGATCTATTATAGAAACTGAATTTCGTGGATCAGATTTCACGTTTCACTGGTACACTTGAAACAACAGTACCGCCACAGCCTTATTCCTTCAAGTCTAAACTCCTGAATAGCCTCCTCAGTTTTTGCTCTGATGGTTCTCTCTTGCCAGTGGTCCACTCTAGTAAAGTAGGTGGTGATTATTTCTGGATCAGGTCAGATGATGGAGAGGCCATGAAGCAATATCTCTCTCTGACAGACAAGCAAAGAAACTACAGCAAGATGCACTCGCTGTAGAGCTGTGCATAGCATCCAACTAAAACCCCTCTGCATGTCAGCATCAAATTTTAATTAAGCCGCCGAATCCTAACTGTTCGTGGCTATGCTTTATGTATGACAGCTTCTGAGAAACATCGACAAACAGCCAAACAGGGTTTACATTAATGGAAGGGCTGAAACAATGTGTGTAATGACTGGAAGTGCAGTGAGGAATTGCATTCCCTAAACAAATTATACAGAGTAAGCTGCCTCTCACCTCAAAGCCTGCAGAGCCTGTTGCTAGGGAGCCCATGGTAACAGTTGTGAAGAGTTGAGCTGAGAGCGAGTTTACCCTTCCTTCAGCCCTGTGTGTTTATTTGTACGCATGTGTTTATATTCACTTGTGCATACTGTACAGCCTCTCTCCACCTCTTAGCAGCACCAGCACAACTCTCCACCACTCAGCAATGACAGTTACATCGCCTCATTTAAGATGTGAAAAGGCCCCTGAGCTGTTAGCTGAATAATAGACCAGATGCACTTAAAAAGATGGAGTTGAACATGACAAATGAGCTTCGTCATGAATAATGACATAATTACTGTGAGTCCCAACAACAAAATGTTATTGGTCTAAGATACTGTGGAACATTATATTATGAATGGAATGAAAAATCTACCAGTAACAGAGCTAAGGATGAGCAAGAATGAATAATATTACACTAGTTTCGATCTAGTAGTGATTAGTGATGACCTGGAATAGGTATTGTTAGGATTTTATTATTCTTAAATACAATTGCAGAATCATATTATATAATACTCTGAGTACACTGTTATAACTGACAATATGACTTTGACAGTGTCACTTTGCTGATACAGTACTGCACTATAAGTACAAGTACAACACTAGTTGTGGGTACCGTATGTGTACTACTATTGCCTTTAATTGCGTTTTGTGTCTAATTGCTCTTGTACAGTTTATATTTTATTATTCTTTTCTTATTTTATACACATTTATTTTATCTAAAAGGTCCAATGTGTAGGATTTAGTGGCATCTAGGCATTTAGAGCACCACAATGGAAATGGCTTTTTTGTGTCATCCTCGACATTTTTAATGAATATGTATGTATTTGTCGCAGTGTTTGACAGGGTTTGGAGTACATATTTAAGATGTCAAATCAAAAGTTGCATGTTGCAAGTCCCTTGCTTCACCCTCCACTACAAAGCACAAAGGAGAAACTACGGTGGCCATAAAATGTGCAAAAAAGTGTCCGGTTTGTCCATTCTGGGCTACTGTAGAAATATGGTGGTTCAACATGGCAGCCTTCATAGAAGGCGTCCTGCATCTGTGGATAAAAACAGCTATTTCTCAGGTAACAAAAACACACCGATATCGATACTGATAATGCTTATCCATACTGGGTTTTTTTTGTGTACTGTGATACACAAAAAATATGTGAAAAGCTACCTAAAAAAAAGTTAAATTGAGTTAAATAATAGTAAAGTTAGACCACACATTATGCTCTGTCAGCTGTTTATGTAACATTTTATTAATACTCATGACAGTATAATTTATCCAGGAGCTTATCAATATTTCGGTACTGACCAGTCAGGGGCCGGTTTAGCGCCAGTTCTCAATACCTAGCCCTAGTGATTTTAGGTTAGGTACAGATTCATAAACTATGCTTTGTTCAGAAAGTTTGACCACAGAACTGTAATGCAGTTAAACTACACCAAGACCCAGAGTCTTTGTGTTTGACGCTGCATGTATCATCTACAGCATTCTCCCATAAGACCTGAGTGCGTCACTGGGTCGCTTTTCCTACAATGAGCTCTCGAGGGCAGCGGCTCTGCTAGTCGTGACTGAGACAGAGAGAGAGAGACGTGAAGGGAGAGTCACAGAAACGGAAGCAAAGGGATGGTGAAGGGAGTGCTTCACCTTCAAGGTAAAGCATTTACTGCCCTTGTACTATTTTTTCTTCATTTTTATTCGATGAATGGACAAAAGGCACAACAGCATTCATTTCAAAGTACAAGCTGTGCTCAGCTCTGACGTACGCCTGAGTGAGTGTGTGTGTGTGTGTGTGTGTGTGTGTGTGTGTGTGTGTGTGTGTGTGTGTGTGTGTGTGTGTGTGTGTGTGTGCAGGAGGTCAAATGCACAGCACGGCAGTAATGTGGTGTTCCCATTCTCCTTCACCGACCTCCACAGCAAGTCAGTTTGACATAAAGGGAAGAGGCGGTCTGACAGCACAGCTCCCTCACTGAACAACAACTAACTTTAGATTCAGGATGTTCTTCTCAGTCTGAAACATAAACTCCTGATGCAGTAAAATAATAAATCACCAGCTCACTTTCAATTTATCTTTTAAGAAATTATAGCGTCATTTCTTTGTGTCTGGCTCTGTATATCAATTCTTTTCCCACTGAAAGGTAGTCTAAAGGCTGCAAATTTCTTTCATGTGCTCTAATGGGCTGGTGCAGGCCTGTATCCTAACCCAAACAACCCAAGTGTGTTTCCTACTTGCCTCTAGTTGCTCTAACGTCTGGGTAAACACAGGATATGTTGGATACGTCAGAGAAAGAGGAAGTCGGAAAACGTGACTACACATAATGTGAATAAAACTAAAAAGAAAAATGTGTAAAAATACATAAAATGTCCGTGAATCTGACTGCTGCCTCACTCTGAGTCACGTCATATAGATTTTCATTTCATTTTTCATTTTGTTTAAGTAAAAAAATAAATACATTTGGAAATGTTCTGAAACATAGAAAACAAAAATATGCCATCCTCATATCAACAGGTCAACTTGACAGCTCTCTCATTGCTGAGGCCTTCATTATAAACAGCGTCTATCCATTCACAGACATAAAAATGGCAGGAAAGAGATGAATGCAGCAGACTTACCCTACCATTGGTCCACCTCGCTCCAAGCTGTACACCTGCCTGGGGTTTAGTAAGTACCTGAACTTCCTCAGTACCCTGGAGGAAGAGAGAGGGACAGCAGAAAGAGCAAGTCAAACTTATAGTTAGCATACGCAATATGCTCATTATTACATCAGACATATACAAGTTGAATGTTACAGGTTATGAAAGAGTGTTCACCTATATTTTCAGGCAATTTTGAGGTATGTCAGACTGGTAAGTGTCTGGTGAATCGCAGTGCTATGATGTTAATAGATAAAAAATGCAAGCATGTCATTAACTTGCATCTTTGATATTTGCTGCTCTCATGATGCAGCTGACCAAAGAATCACCAAATTGCCAACTTTTGCCCATGACACCCTAGATGCATCATGTAAGAAATGATGAAGGAATATAGTGGAATCAACTAATATTTTCTCATTAAGTTTTATTTATGTGAATTAAACTTTAATCATTGAGTTTTTGTTTTCAGGCCACTTCAGAACTTACAAACATGAGGTCTTCTCTAAGTCTTTTGACTTGAAATTAGGACTAAAATAAGTTCAATCAACTTATTAAATGTAGTTTCTAAAGAAACATATGCTGATCATGTTGATTGAAATCAATAGCAACTGCAAGTGTAAGTTCTTTGTTTGTCAGTGTGACCGAACAGTTGTTGGTTTAACTTAATATCTTAAGCTTATTGAACATGTTTTCTCTAATTCACTTAACTCAATTGGTTTTACAACTCAAATAAGACTTTAAACTAATTGTCCAACCTAACTTCAGTTATGTAACTAACATGTTTAAGGCAGAGATTTGACTTTTAAATTGACTTAACTTCATGGATACATCTTTACAAACTAATGTTATGCAGTAAAAACAGTGTTTAAACTCCTGTATATCTTAATTTCTACATGAGATTCCAAGATTTGCAGAGATATAAAATACATGCATGTCAGCTTGATTTTCAGTTAAAATTAACATTCAGTTTTATAGTGCAGACATACAAACCATGGCATCAGTGTAAACATCATATAGCTTCACTAAAGATATGAAGTGACTTCTATACAACCTCCACATGTATCTTAAAGCTGCAGTATGTAAAGTTAAAATAACTGTGTCATATTTGCTGAAGCTTTCCCTATATCCTGACAGTAGAACATGAGACAGATAATCTGTGAAACAATCAGCTTCCTCTGGCTCCTCCTAGTGTTCCTAATGGCATTTGCAAGAATCCACCGGACCTGAACGAAAACAACCAATCAAAACTGAGAAAAATGGAAGGCCTAGTGGATTCTTGCAGAGAAGAGGAAGCACATTTTTCTTTACAGAAAATCTCTCTCATGTACTACTTTAAGGATATAGTGAAAGTTTCAGTAAGTTACCTACTGCAGCTTTAAATCTGTTATAAAGCGGCGCTGCAGTTTCTGTCTGAGGTGTGCAGAAATAATAATTTGAGAGTTGAGGCAGAACACAGATAAAGAAGTAGAGAGTTTGAGTTTGCATGCTCTTCACTCGTCCATTTATGATTTTCAGTCAGTGTATGAGCGAGCAGCACATCAACCCAGTTGTAACCTTGTGATAGTTACATAAAACGGTTATTGAAGTCTGCACAATTATCTTCATGCACATCTCATGCGGGCAATTTTACTGGATCCTAATGTTCTTCTAATATCCAACATGAGGCTAGTCAGTGTATCTCACTGAATATATTTGTATACACAAGTGATCAGATGCCTCAGCCTTGTAGAAATCCACACTACACAAAGTATATGAGGTACTGATAAAGTTTATATTAGCTAGTGGATAACAGATTTAGACAGCTTATGTTAAATCTGTTTAAACAGTTATCGTTTGTATGTAGGGCAGAAGCTTATACAGCTGCAGTTAAATTAAACATGTTGTGCAAGTGAATTAAAAAAAGCTTCTTTCAGTTTTCACACAGGCAAAAATAGCAACACAACAGCCTCTGGTTTCCTGCTCAAAATTATCTTTTTGTTCTAGTAGTGTCTATTAATAGAGAATAATTTCCTTTCTAATGCTAATAATGAGTGTGTTGCTATGGTAATGTGTCAGGCTGAGGCAGAGCAACAGGGTATGATTGGGCTGTGTAGTGTGGTAGGTGGGGAGCAAAGCAACAATGTATAGCCCTCTTCATCTTTCAATGAGAGCATTCAGAGGGACAGCAGGGAGGTGCAGTGACTACTCAGCCCTACGTGACAAAAATCAGGTTCCTGAAGTGGGCTGTGATTTTAACATAATGGGCCAAAAGCCTTCTAATAATAGTGTAATTTAATAATATAACATCTGGGTTAAAACAAAAAGCTTAAATTGACAAGGAAAACAAAAACGTAAAAGGGAATTAGAATAAGGGAATTATTATCATGTGAGGGTAGAAGTAATAAAGAATTATTTTATTTTTATATTTTCATCCTAAATATGTTTTCCAAATGGCTGTCATCAACTTTAATTTATAACCTCTATTGCATGGTCTCTATACATGATATTGCACTAAATGTAAAAGACAACCTGACCACAGCAGGAGAACTTACCTCTCCCCCTGTCTCCCTCCACTCTTGGGATTGACCATGACCAGGAGCGGGTGAGTACCTGGGAGAGGGGTAATCTGTAGGAACAGGAAGGAAAAACACACTCAGGGAACCTGTTAACTAACAACCTAGATAATGGATGACTGCTGGATGCTGGACTACCTGCAGTGCTTGTCCGTCTCCGGGGGAGAATTTGAAAGTCTGATTGGCATCTTCAGGGCTGGTGCTGGGAGGCGACTCCCCCTCGCCGCGCTTCACCACAGAATGGCGGTCCTGTGAAAAGAGGAAGACTGATGGACTGGTGCACAGATATCCAACCACAGGCCAGGGCTTTTATTATTTACTCCTCAGTGCTTCCATACTACAGGATACAAGATCACAGAAGAAGAAAACTGTGCGCTCAATAAAATATTTTTATGATTAATAAAACTATACCTGTTTACCTGCATGCACTTTCCCTTCATAAATCTAATGAACTGCAGGTGCATGGTTCCCTGTATTAATATATGAAATGCCCGCTATGGATAACATGCATATAAATCAGCTTGTCAATGAGGTATCTGAAAATTGAGTCAGACCACGGACCCGAAAATAGAAAGTGTGAAATTGAGGCAGGTGTTTGGCGGACATGGGTCTGACATGACTTGTTAGAGGAAAGCTGTTGAATGGCTTGCCACTAATACAGCCATCCATTCTTTGTTGCCTATCTAGGTCGTGGTGGCAGCTTTCCACTCAAAATGTTTACACAATTCTCAAAATATAGTTAAAAAGGCTATTTCTGTTAGAATCCTTATCATTGTTGGAGTTAGCAGTATCACACAGAAGCAGCGCATTTGGCCATATTTGGGTACAGTCTGGTTTCTAAGCTTCAAGTGGTTGCAGGGGTGGTTTAATACAACGGTCCTGCAATAAATCCTTCCTCCATGCAGGTTATAAAGTTCAGTTTTTGTTGAAACTGTTTTAGAGAGGTGTTGATTTATGCTCATTTTGGAGGCTGCAGTTGGCAGTGCTGTTGAATTGTATACCACTATTCTGACAGGTGTTTCTATTATTCTGCCCATGACATTTATATCAGGTAGGCTGGGCTGAATAACAGAAGCGGCTCAACAGAATCACAGACTACATCTGAAAGTGATCACAGCATTGATAAAAGGAGGATTTATTGCAGGACTGTTGCATTAGACTGTTCACACTGCAGGAACAAGTGTCCCAAATCAGATATTTTTGCTCATACTGGACTCAGATTGTGTGGAGAGCATGAATCACATGCAATCTGACAAGCAACTTTCATGTGTGGTCCAAGTCAGATACAGATCTGATTCTTTTGCAATGCAACCTCAGTGTGAACACTCATATCAGAATTCATGTGAATTTTATGTCACTCTGGATCGACATTCTCTCAGTCACCCAGCTGCAATGGAGGTATTCAGTGGAAGTATTTGGGCTGACACTTCTGTACAAGAAAATTCTGCCTCCACACACACCTCCATACAGAAATCAATGATTTTCTCACGTATGTCTTATGGTTTAACTGCCTGGTCCCAGGCCAGACGACCCGCTCTCTCAGAGCCACAGCCTCTTGTAAGTAGCAGCCATTGCTCCACAGAAAGCCATGACTAAAGATATGGCTCCTCATTACCTTAAAAGTGGAGAAATTCAAACTGGCCACTCTCTCTGGTTTCTGTCAACAAGGAAGATCTGAACTTTTTAAACAACATTCTGAGCCTACAGTAAGAGAGTGTACATTCGCAGTCTGCTCATAGACTCTGAAGAGGATTCTTTTTTTTGTGTGAATGATAAAATACTGAAAACAAACTCCTTCATCTGTGGAAGCTAACATAGCCTCAATATACAGCATATGCGCAGCCTTTTGCATGGACAGCAGAGAAAAGCCTTCTCACCAACACAACGGGGCAGATGTACGAGGGCAACAGAGTGTGGTCCCTCAAGGCTCCTCCATCGCACTCTGGCTTCACATTAGATGCACACTTATTATGGAGCTACGGAGGAGAGGAGAGGAGAGGAGAGGAGAGGAGAGGAGAGGCAGAAACATAAGAACTGTGGGCGTAATCCATCTGTGGCACTGAGTGTATCAAATGTTACCACTATATAAAACGCCACACTTGGGAGGCTGTTTATCCTGACAGTATATAGAGACTGTTTGACCCGACCATACAGTTAAATCAAAAATGTATCCGTTTGTATTTGCGTGCAGAATATTCTTCTCGCTGAAATGAGAACTGTTCTGAGAACCGGAGTGGTTTGACAGCAGGGTTAATGATGAGCAAGTCAGCGGTGACATCTAGTGGATTTAAAAAGCAATCGCAAGTAAAATGTATAAAGGTGTGTGCGTACTTGTATTAGTCACATTATGGGGACACAGTACATTGTAGGAATTCGCCTCATATTTGGGGACAAAAGGCATTAGATTTTAGGGTCGAGGTGTGTTTAAAGTTTAGGTAAGGGTTGGGGTTTGGCTTATAATGGTTGTAGTTAAGGTTAGGTAAGTCTCTAGGGAATGAAGGTAAACTTTAGGTGGACCTAGCTAAAACTAATGCAGTTCAATACAACAGTCCTGCCTCCCTTCATGGAGGTTTTAATGTTCAGGTTTTGTTTGACATAGAGGTGTTGAGTCGACTGTATGGTCATCTTGGAGGCTGCAGTTTGTGGTGCTGTTGAACTGTATTACATTATATCAGTGGTTCCCAACCTTTTTCCTTAATGGAGCCCTTTTCTTTCATTGAGTAAGTGGCATAGTTTATGGATATTTCATATTATATTCAATGCAGAACAATAACAGTAGAGAACAACTTGACAACAACAGAACATTGTTCTATTAGCTCTTTGGTTGTTTTTACTTTTCTAATGCAGGACGAGGCTGTTCATCAGAGAGTGCAGGCTCTGTGAATATAGCTTGTTTTCACGTCTTCACCGTGCCTTTATCCTGTTTTAGATCTTAAATAATAATCTAAACTTTAAAAAGAACTATTCCATTTAGTTTTCCTCACAGAAAATGACGAAACTCTGAGATATAGTTCCACAATAGGGTTTTTTAAAGTTTTCTTACACCCATTCAAATCAAGAAGGCCCCACGACCCCCTTTGAAGCTGTGGTGACTCCTAATTTTGGGTTAGGACCCCCAGGTTGGGAACCAGAGCTTTATACAGAGAGCTGTTTCTGTTATTTAGACCAAGCTTTTTCCTTAAGGGAGCCCTTTTCTATTATTGAGTAAACTGACAACCCCTGACTCAAGAGACATATTTTATAGATATTTCATTATCATTATATTCAACAATAACAGTAGACAAAAACTGATACATTGTACAATGAACGGTGAACACAATAATTGCATGAAGCTGGTGTAAAATCAGCCGATTACTTCCTGTGAATATTGCAGTTTTCCTTATTTTTTAAGGGAATTTTATAATTATTTATAATAATCTGTCTGTATTATGTATTTTTTTATTTTTACCAATTAATACCTAATAGGATTTCTCTTGGACAAATTCAGTGTTTTCTTCTCCCTGACGCCTGGCCATTGTTCTGTTTGGTTGTTGTTGTAGTGTACAGTTGAATCAACACCTCTCTAAAACGGTTAAAGGAAAAGAACATTATAGCATAGACTGTTGTATTAGACGTCATTAGTTTTAGCTGGGTGGACTTAATAAACTGCCAACTGTGCCTGTGTCTGTATGAGTGAGACAGACAGACTCAGAATATAATGGCCATTTTCAACAACTCAATGAAATTACTGATACTAATGTGTACTTACAGTGCTTTTCTATTGGTCAGTACAGTCTGGAATATGGCCACTGTCACCTGCTAAGAGTAATCTGTGTCTACATTAAGGCAGCAACTCACAGTGATCTGACACCAGACACAGTGGAGGCCCGTAAGGCCCTGGTAACACTTGATGCTTCTGTGACAGCGGTCACACTTGGTAGGAGAGTTACCCTCCATCCATACATGCTGCATAGCCTGCAGGGCGAGAAAGAGAACAGAAGGTCAGTATTCAGTGTTATTTTGCATTAATAGTGACATTTTTAATTAGTCATCAAGCAAAGATGTAAACATAATTTAGGGTTTTGAACATTTTATTGTTTTCTGCAAACTATATAATAATATACCTACAACAATAAAGTGTAATAATGGTTTTAACTAAAAATTAAATGCTGCTGAAACAAAGGGAGTTTTGATGAATAAAACCTGGGACTGCATTGTTTACCTAGAGAGAAATAATACATTAATGGAGCTAAAAATAACACCAGAATAATAATGACAGCTGAGACACTTGGTTGCTTTGCTGGATAAAAAGCAAAGAATCCTTCTTTTCACTTCAAGCTTTGCTGCATACAACACACAGATGACTGTTGAGCTTCAACAGCAGTAAAAACAGTTTTCTTATTGTTAAAAAAGTGAAAACACCGCTGTGATCCACCGATGGGATTAAAGAACATCGGCTTTAGGGCCGCCACATTTTCTCAACGAATCCAATGGTGCCCAAACGGGGGGCTGTGAGGCAAGGCCGCATGTGCTGTGGGATTTTGTGAGAACAATACAATATACAATGTACAACTATACAAAAAGCTATGAATACATTTTTAATTTACTATATCAGTACTTTGTACACACTTTGTAGTTCCATTACCTCATTTTTAATGTTGTTACCTGTCTGGTTTAAATGGGTGTGCTGCTGCTTTGATGTAAATGTTTCAAATGAAATTATTTTGCTAATAAATATTTTATGAGTGGGGCGCTCTGGTTCCTCAGCTGGTAGAGCTGGCACCCTGTGTACTGAGGCTGAGTCCTTGCTGCAGCTGGGTTCATCATGGGTTTGACTCAGACCTGTGGCCCTTTGCAACATGTAACATCTGCTCTCTCTCTCATCTTTCCTGTCAGTCTACAGCTGTCACTAAAGGCAATAAAAAGCACCCCAAAAAAACTGTATGCATCTATTAGTTGCAATTAACCAATTAATTACTATATTTAGTGTGTTAAGGAAATGCCTCATTGAATCAAAATGTTTAATTCCACATATTTATCATGCCTTAATTGGTAGACAAAGTTGATTTTCTTTAAATAACGCAAACGTTTAACATTCATTCGACATTTTCAATTTAAGATTGTTCTGAATCCAGTGGTACCAAGCATTTGATATAACTCACTGTAGTTTTTGAGATACAGACATTTCTGTATCATACTATATTTAGTCATTAGTCATAAGGTTGACTGATTGTATCCCACAGGAATACATTATAAAATGTATTTAAGGTCTGTATAATGGCAATACTGGACCTATAAAAAGCAACAGATTATCATTTTTCTTGTTTAATATATATTGTAACAGTCCCGAATATGTATCTGTATCAAAAATTAGGAACATCTGAAATTCCTAACCTGTTTCTCACAGAAATGTTTTCCTGGAAAATAAAAAAGCAACCCCTAGTGACTAATGGCTAAAAAGAAAAAGTATGGTAAGAAAAACTAGCTAGTACTTTAAGTGCTGTAAAGGACATGATATAACCCCAAATTAATAGGTTTATTGTTTAGTTTAAAAAAATGTCACTTGGTTGTCTGAAAGGCAGCAAATGCTAACATTTGGAGAAAATGAAAAAGGGGGATGTTTACTGTGTTTTGGCCTGATAAATGACTTAAACGAGTAATCAATTATCAGAATTGTTGAAGATTAAATTTGTCATTGATTAGTAGGAAAATAAATAAAAACAAACTAAACAAACTGATTTGAGGGAGGCCTGGCAGGAAGTTTTGGTCATACCCCAGAAGTGAATAACAGTATAAAGCTCCACAGACCGTAATCAGCATGTGACCTGAGCCGGAGAAATAATTCTATAGAGACTAACTGCGTCAATGCTAAAACACAGAGGATATTAAGTAGATAAGAGGCTGTGCATGACCTCACAGACCGTCCCATGATTCTCGCTGCTCCGTTGAACAGGAGCATGAGCCGGTGGGAACCTGCCAAACAGACAGGTCAGTGTTCCTGTCTCATTACCCCGCAGCATCAGCACGCCATTTCATGTGCAGAAAGAAGCCTTTCATGCGCTGCGTTTGTACTTACGTTGGTGTGTCTACGTGACTTGGCGTAGGTGCTGATGCAGGCAGCGATGTCTTTGGACACACACCGTTCGTGCACTGTGTACTTGCATACTGTGGGAAAACAAGCAGAGACTGCAATTTACTTCCCATCACACACCAGCCTCAGAACTGGCCGACATGCTCCTCTTTTTGAATACTGAATAATATCGTCTTACACGTATTGGTCCTCTCATTTTAACAACTAAAAATGTGGTTTGCAGGGGATTTAATAAAAGGTTTACCACATTACAGAACACTTCAGACAATAAGTGAGTACTTGCATTCAGCGCTGCCAATAACGTCAGCCTCCAGAGCTCCCCGGCAGAATTCAATCAGTAATAAAATTACGCGTGATAACATTCTTAATGTTTTTTTAATGGCGACTGTGAGGACTTTTAATTGAAAAACAACATTGACTCCGAGGCACTCAGGCAGAACACACTACTTAAGTTTGAGTCAGATGCAGATGAACAGATAAAGACGGAGGAGCAGACAAAGAGATGATGACAGAGATGGAGAGGAGAGGAAGTCAGAGAAGGGGGGAAAATGGAGACAAAGGGATTTGAGGAGACGGACGAGCACCGGACAGGCAGGCGACACGGTGACTCACTGGAGCAGCAGAGGCCCTGCTTGCGCACTCCGAGCAGCATGGTGTGGCAGTAGTTACAGTAGGCTGGTTTGTTGAAGTGCTTCAGACGCCAAACATGCTGCCCGTCTTCCTGTACATTCTAGGAGGAGAACAGAGGACGGATGAAGCACTGAAAGTACAGTTTACTTCTAGCAGGACAGCCTCGTCTTTTAGTTCTAATTTTTTTTTAAGTAGCTCAAGTAAACATTAATACAATTAATAATTTGTAAGATCTTAAAAAAAAATAATCTGTCAAATATTTACAAAACATAAATAATCTGTCAAATAAAGAAACACAATAATTCAAGTAATGATGTAAGATAAGTAAGAAGTAATGATGTCATTTTGCCACTGCTTAGCAGTTACTGACAGTGTTTCCACTGTAACAGCTTATCACAGATATACAGTGTCAGTCAATAAGTAACAAGTAACTGCTGTACACAGATTCAAAAATATATGTGAGGTCATTTAGAGACAGTTTGCCCACCACAGAGCATTGACAACTGTACTTTTCATCTGTAACACTGCGTATCATACTCAAAAATCCAGTTCCAGTTTGTTGGTTAGCCAGTTAGCTAGTGTTTTTCTAACATAAGCACAGACCAAAAAGGTGCAGGACTTAGGACATCCATCTGTATACAATGCAGTACAGTACATACTGGAACAACAGAGTTTCTCTTGGTCCCTGATTCAAAAGGACAGATAATGCAACATTCAGTGGGAGTGAAGCAAATATTCAGACTACACATAAAAAAAGAAGGTGCAGAAACAAGATATAAAACAAGTTACAAACACGTAGTCCATGGGTCTTGAGGGCAGCAGGGTGTTAAGGAGTCTGACAGCCTGAGGGAACAAGCTGTTGCTGAGGATCTTGCCCAGATGCTTTGGTAAAATTTTCCGGACGGCAGCAGGGTGAAAAGTCTTCTTAGAGGGTGTGTCGTTCATGGCTTTGAATCATACATAAAAGTCATTTGGTGCCTCTGGGAATGAGGCATCGCTGTCACAGGTAGTGCCCCGCTACATACACATTATGGCCATGAGTTCATGCAGGATTTTCCGGACATACAGTATGTGCGTTTTGCTACCCTGATGGGACGGGGAAGGTTAGCTCTAGCAGATCTGAGGGCTGCCTTGTCCCTGAAATCAAAGGCAGCTCCTGGGTTTTCAGCAGGACCTCAGTAAACATCCATGGATTCTAGTTGGCATGGTAATGATCTTGGAAACAGTCTTGTAGGGCTGAGGTAGCTCCAGCTGCTGAGGAACTGTGGTTGAAGACCACCATAGAGTTTGCACATTCACTGTTGATATAAATACATAACCATCCTCCTCATGTCTCACCGGGGGATGAGGCGTCCCTATTTAGTTAGTCCATTCATCTGAATCCTTGGCGATGTTGTCATGGATCCACGTTTCCGTCAAAATAACACACAACAGTCCGATACCTCGTGCTGCGCGGTCAGCTGTAGTCTGAAGTAGTCCAGTTTAATGTCCGGAGAGCGGACATTTGCATGGAAATAAACTCAACTTCAAGAGAAAATACACCGACTGACAACTGATCTCACAACAACCAACAAGTGCTTTGAACTAACATGTAGAACAAAAGTTTAATGGTTGTGTAAAGACAAACCATTAAGTTTTACACACACACACACACACACACACACACACACAAACTAGTATGTACCGTATCCATGCCCAGCAGGACCAGTAAAGGGATAGTGGTGAGGCCTCCTCTGATCCACTCCTCCAGCGTGACCGTCCCATCTCTGTCATAGTCGATCTCTTCCATCATCTCCTTCAGTATCTGAAGGGACAGAGATATATTCCATATATACATATATACACAGCATATATAGATGACTGTCACGCAGTCGAGGCCCCTCAGCCCTGTGACTCCCTGCCTGAGGAGCTGAGCCTTGCTGAATCATCTTTTAAATATCTTTCAGGACAGTCTTTTATTAATGCTTGCTCAGCGTTTTACTGGCAACATGTCTGCTAGGTTTTATTATCAGTATTTATCGTTATTGTCAGGGGTTTTATTCCATTTTATTTCTGGATTATTGTAATTGCCTGATCAGTGCTGAAAAATTTTAATCCTAGTTCAACCATGTAAAGCACTTTGTAACTTTGTTCTGAAAGGTGCAGTTTAAATAAAGTTTATTATTACTATTATTATTTAAACCAAAGCACAGACTATAAATGTTCTGTGTATGCATCCACAAAAAAGTAATTAACAGGCAGACTACATACTGTGGTTTAAAGTAGGACTCTGAGTGTACTTACTGTGCATTGTCCCTGTTAAATAAACAATAAAATAAAAATATTCAACTTCAAGCATTTTATAACTAGCTTTAATAATTTTTCATAGTGGATGTAATGTATATTCAATTTTGAAACAGTGATTGAAAATGAACTGTGGCAGTTAATTCTTTATTTATTAGTATAAAAAGTGCAATAATTTCACAATTTTTGAGTTTTTGTTATAGATTTTATTGCAAAATGCAAATAATAGACTAACGAGCTAGTTGTTTTTCTCTGTAGCACTTTTGCTGAGAAAGCTTATTTCAAGCTATTTTGTGGGGTTTGGAACTAAAATCCACTTTCTGTTTGTCACTTAAGGTTTCAGCTGGCATTAAAGGTGAGTAAGGAGGGAGGAGAGGAGAGAGGATCTGTTCACGCTTCTCTTCCTGTTTGCTCACCGGTCGCAGTTCTGTTGAATCCCACTCAAGATACTCTGCCACATGCACCATCTGATTGATGATGCGATCCAGCTCCTACAAAAAAAAAGACAAACCGGCCATCATTACCTTCTACCTTCCATCCCCCCTCATACATTTCAAACACTGATTACAGGCTTAAGGCATGTGCCTGCTTGTGACATGAATAATGTGCTTTTAGCCAATGGTAAAGTCACTGACTTTAAAGGTTATACTGTGTTTCAGTCAGACAACTCACGTTTGAAATGTTTATTACAGCAGTATAGCATAGTTAGATTTTGGCGTCTAGGCTCCGACCTCATCATTCCCCACAGATATGTCTACATAGAGATATTGGGGAGTGATGAGCAAATACCTTAAACCCTAGCTGGAGCCTACAGGTGGATGCTGGGGTGGTGGTGGGGCTTACAGCACAGCAGAGATAGAGATCCCTTTGCCTGTGTGGCAGCCTCTCTGTGGTTTGTTTACAAAGCCGGTCTGCATATTAGCATGCAAGTTCCTCCATGTACAACTGAGGAAAGCAACTAAAACTTATTTTTCCATTGATAAAGGATTTATTTCCACCAAACCAGAGTTGGTGAATGTTGAAACAGTAGAAAGACGGTTTTAGTGAGTTGTATTTAGTTGAATGAAAGTCCAGTCTTATGATGATATGAGAGATGAAATGCATTTTTCTATGGAGTTTGGTGGTGAGTAATAGCGATATTACGGCTGGTTAAACAAAAAGGTCTATCTCTGTACAAATCCTTTCCATAATGTTGTCACACTTAGAATATCAATCAGAGCCTTTTTTAGTGGATGTACCCTGACGGGCGCATGTGTCTTCAAGGGTCAGCCAATGTTACATGGCAGCCGTAGTAGCCCATTTTGTTAGGTGGTTTTCTCATCTAACTCAGTGAATTAAGCATTTATTTTGACTAAACCAGCACTGGTGATTGTTGGAAAGACTAACAAAGAGAGCTTTGGTGAGTTTTATTTTGTTTCCGTCCAGTTTGAAGTGTGTTTTACATTTATTTGCTAGGATAAATGACTGATTTAGTCATTGGAGTCTGGTCATAGCGCTTATTGTTTTGGTCTGAGATGCTGGTGCTCTAGAGCAAGATCTATTGGCAAGTGAATCTCGTATATAAAACCCTAATGTTGATGTGAAGTACAAAGTGTAAAAAAGTCTGTATGTGTACTATGTATTTCCCTGCGTATATAACATATTAACAGAGGAGACTGTGTGTTTATGTGATGACTTCAGCACATGGCTAATATCAAACTGAGCGGATCCATTACAAATGACCTCATGTAAACACAACTGCTGTCTCTGAGTATTCAGGGTTCTATTCTTAGAGCTGCTGTATGCAAAGTGCAAACAGAGACAAAACACAGAGAGAAAGATGAAGATGGGAGGGAGAAAGAAAAGAGAGGGAGGTTCAAAAGTAAAAAAGAGACAGAGCCCACTCACCGAGCTGTCCAGAACCCCGTTGCCGTCTGTGTCGTACAGCCGGAACATGACTAGAGGGAAACGAGAGAACAGAGATCCCATGATGACTCAGATACCGTCAGATTATTAGTAGCTCTCTGAAGCTGTAACATTCGTTCTTGGACTCTCTCCAGATGGCCACGGGGTTAAAGAAGTGGAGCGTGCTCCTTCTGTACCGCAGCATAGGGACCAGTTAGCAGAGATTAGCCTTGTCACTGTGCGCCAGTACAGCATTAGACGCTAAAGAAGTCAATTGGGCACAGCAGGGCTTAAGCATGTCACTGACCTGCCCTGTGTGGGAGGTGTGACCTCAGTAACTAAGGTCTCTGGGGAGGCAGCCAGAGACGGAAGGAACAGCCTTATTACTCTTGCTGTCAACCTGAGCTGGCACACTGCTAGACAAGCTGCGTTAGTGGCCTGAGTGCATGCACACATTGCATAAGACAGCTGCTCCCACCGTGCACCCCTCTGAGAGCAGCTGACCCTCCGCCTACACCCCATCCCCGTCACTCACACTCCAGCTTGTCCTCTGGCATCCCCCTCTCCAGCAGGGAAAGGTAGCAGACGATGTCCTTGAGAAAGACTACCTGGGGAGACGACAGGGGGGAGGCTTTCTGGGGCGACGGGCTCCTCCGCAGAGACAAATGCTTCTCGGAGTGGCTCCTCTCTGTTGATGTACAACACAAGTGTTCAAAGCTGCTCACAGCACCCATCACTCTTTCTGCTGTGCGGTGGGTCCTCTGGATAAATTAATGGAATGAGCAGAGTAAAAGCACCGGCAAATAAATTACACATTTAAGTATTAGTTTAACAGCTTTAGAAAACTCTGTTACCGGTACAGCAGGTAGAGACAAAACAGAGCAGTGGCGAACGGGGTGACAAAACATTATTTGCAGTATAGACAGAGGAGGGAAACGCCACAGGCTGCTGACCAAAACAATATGACATCATGTGACAGGGATCTGAAAAGCCATAACTGGATTAGCAGCACCTAAATGGAACGAGGCATGTCTAAAAAAATACAGCATTGTAATACGTTCAAATTCTATTTTTACACAAAGGCATCGAAACAAACCTCTTATCCAACTATCTTTACTCACCTTACAAGCATTGTTTCCCATGAACAGGAGCTATAAACTGTTTCTTTCACTAAACGCTGGTGTAAGACCCAGTAACTAAATGTTTACTGCGGACATTGGTACAGCAAGGATAGACTCCACATAAGATTTAAGATTAGAGATAGGGGTGTAACAATATATTATGGCACAATATACTGCAATGCAAAAATGTGACAATATACAACATGAATGTGAAAAATAAACATTAATATTAATGTAACTATATTGTATATTAACTATAATATTAAAGGTTAAATATATATAAGATTTAAAACATGAATATAGCAGCAAACAATTATTCACTATGTAACAATATAGTGGAGTCATGGAGTCCTGAGCAGAGAATGGTGTCACACTCCCTCTGCCTGTGTTACTATCACAGTCTCTCTGTGGTCTGTTTACACAGCCGGTCTGCTCCTTGTGCAGCAGAGTAGAGCGTCTGAAACTGCCGTTTTTATCATCTACGTCAGCAAATTAAGGATTTATTTTGATTGTTGGAACAGTGGAAGGACTGACAGATGGTTTTGGTGAGTTTTATTTTGTTTCTGTCCACTAAATTAACTTATGATGTTATGATGATATGCAAGGTAGATTTATCGTTTTTGTCTCTGGAGTGTGGTGGTGAGTGATAGAGATATTACAGCTGTTTCTGATTAAACAAAAGGTCTATTTCTGTAGGGATCCTTTCCATAATGCTGTCAGACACTCAGAATAACAATCTGAGCCTGTCAGTGGCAGAAACAACAACTTTTAGTGAGAGTACTTGACAGGTGCATTTGTCCCAAAGGATGAACGTCACAAATGTTTTCTAATCTAACTCGTTGACGCTAACTGAAATTAAAGGTAATCCATTAATAAAATGTGAATATGTTGTTGAGTTTATATTCTTTAAACCAACAAAAATCAATCTGGGTGAAGACATTTAAATATAATATAATATATATAATATGGTTTCGTGGCCAGCTGAGGTTTTAGATCAGTGTTACTCCAGTCCAGTTCTGACAGGTATCCTTTATCCTTAAATATTGTTTTATTAAGATGCAGGTAACGAGTCTTTTGTTTGAGTTTTGTAGCAAAAAATTTTTAAACTAAATTCAGAAATGTTAATATTACATAAGAACAATAAAATAATAGTTCATTTAAATAAAAAATAATTAAATAATAAAGAAAATTATGACATTAAATTCTAACAACTAAACCATCTCCATGACAACTGAGCAATGCCACAAAAATTGGAACTCAAGCTCGAGAAACTAACCCTTAAGATTAAGAATGAGAATTTTGTTTAACTTTGTTAAAAGTTAATAATAAATTATATATAACAAAATAAATAATAAACTGTCTGATTCCACCTGTACAGTAACTTAGTTCAGCTCTTAATAAATATTGGGCTCCTGACAAGACACACTACAGGTTTGGCACTGACCTGCTAAATAAGGACCACAAGGACCACCAGTTATTCAACTGTCAGACTGATTATGGCACTATCTGCCAACATACACTAACCACTTGCAGTCAGTCTTGTCTCAGTGTAGCTAACCTCACCTGGTGAAAGTTTGGGGGACACTGGAGACCTGGCAGGACCAGCATTGGGGGTCAGGGCATTGCTGCTGCTCTCTGAGGTTTTGACCTGGGTGCATGGTGATCTGTGGGGCCCCCCAGGCGTGTGGGCCCCAGTCCCTGAGCGCTGCGAGGAGGAGCGAGATGAACAAGGCGAGGTGGTGGCTCCTGAGCCTGCTGTGCTCATCACACCGGAGTGCTCCGGCGTGTGTCGGCCCATTGCAGAGAGGATGCTTTTCCCGTTCATCCCTGTTGGGTGGAGAAGAGACGGAAAGAACGAACAGAAATTGAGGAAACAGCAGAGCATGAGTGAAGGGGGTGTTAGATGCACAAAGAGTTGGTTAATTGTAAGGAGCAATGTAAAGAAATACTGTGGAAATAGTGTAAAACTTCACAATGATCCAAATACAAAAAAGTCAGGATGCATACAGTAGAGGGACAGGAAGCAGATAAAAGGACAACACTGCGTTAAAAATTCACAAAGCATCAAATCACCCACTGATCCACAGGCAAAAATACCATGAGCTCACATCAACACAACAAAAAGGGAGCAGGAGGTTAAAGCCAGCAGGCCTCTTGTCCCATTAAGATGATATCACCCTGATGATACGGGCTAGTCGGCCTGCTCCGGTACCTGTAATGGGGGCACAGGCCACTTCGGTCTGAATAGAGATGCCTGCGTCAATGGAACGGGCTTCTGCGGTCAGACATTGTTTCAAGGGAGAGAAAAAGAGAGCGGCAGTAGCAGCAAGAATGAGTCAGTGAAGAAAGACTACTCTTCATGTTCTCTATATACCCAATGTCTGAGACAATCACTGTTTACACAAACTGCATGGGTTCAATATGAGGACGAAAGGAGAAAGACCTATTTTTGGAAGCTTTGTGAAAAGCAGTACCCTGTTTGCATGCATTATCACATAATAGGGACCTCTATTATATGTTAGAGAGCAGCAGAGGGTTATTAGACAGATAATGAGTCAGGAGCAGGAAACAGAAAGCTGAATATTACCAATTTAACTATTCTCTATAGTTATTCAGGCAGTACCATTGATGGTAATATTGTTCATTTCATCTCTGGTCTGATGCTTCAGACATTAAGACCTCCACCAGATGAAAGATTATGAAATGTAAAATAATGTACAGCCATTAAAAACCATTGTTAGAAATCACTGGAAGATACTAAAGGATTCGATCAGCTCCGTCCAGACTGGTTCATGTCATGTTATTTGAGATTACCACAAGGTGTCAGTGCAGGCTCTGTCAGCTGAAGTAGCAGCAGACAGCAAGCAGTGAACTCACTGAGAAACCTTAAGTGAAAGTTTTTCATTCATTTTTTTTACCAATATGACGACAGGCTTCCTGAATTAGACTCATGACGTGCTCGCTTTTTTCTCCATTGCTTATGCATAGACGGGCAGCTGCAAGGTGAGCTGCATTGTTGACATAGCTGTCTGTCTGTACGTGGAGAATCAGAAAGAATATACACAAGGAGCAGATCACAGTAGAATAATCCCTGTCCGACATGGGAATATCTTCCTTGAGTACTTTAGATTTTGCACAATGCAGGGGGCTTTTTATTTTGCCTTTTTCAACAAACAAGAAAGGGGGAGAGAGGGGGAGATGACACGCAGCAAAGGGCCACAGGTCTGACCCGAAACCCCGGGAAAATATGATTTATTTATATATAATTATTAGTAGAGGGCCTATACACCTAATAGGGTGTATTGTATCGTATCGTATCAGCCACTGAGATGCATTTTGCGTGGGTCTCCGTGATGGAGATGCAGATCCGTAATCCCTGTGGAGTTTTCGACGTCTGGTAGGGTTATTGAGCAGTTTCTGGGGGGGCTCTTGTTGCCTTTAATTGATAGTCACAGGAAAGGGGGGAGAGAGAGAGGGGATGACACGCAGCAAAGGGCCACAGTTTGAACCCATGGCCGCTGCAGTAAGGACTCAGGAAAACAGTTAAAATGTCTTTACACAAAGCACTGGAACAAAAAATATACACACATTTTTCTTTCTTATTTTGTTATGGTCACTTTGTTGTAATTAAGGACGTCTAATTCTGCAACAAGGACAAAGCTAAACAATGTTGAGTCAATACTACAGGTAAATGGGATGCCAGCTCCCAGGATACCCTGGAGCAGCTTTAATATGAGTAGGTCCCCACTTTTGTTTGTCTCATGCACGCATGTGACACCTACACACACCCCTGCCAACGGTTTCACACTATTCACCGACCTACCGGGCGTGGCAATGTGACAAGATATGCAGCGATGCACCAATAAAGCCAGGAATGAGAGTCGGCTTGGAAAGTGTTTTATGAAAAAGAAAAGAAAATGCATTTCTATGTTTGTTGAACCTCAATGCATTCTGGTGAACAGTGAATGTAAAAAATACTTGTTTCTATTCAAGAAAACTCCACAGGGTACCTTTAATTTTTGTGGATGTAAACACCCAACCGCCTGAAGGAACGCGGGATACACGAGGCAGCCGTCATGTACACACACACGTAGCTCAAAGCAAGAACATCAAGGAAAAGATGACTTTACTGCCATTTCTTAATTCACAGTAAAAACAGACCGAGAGCGAGGGGACTGACACGCGACTGACGTCTCCAGATGAGTCCGAGCTGGGTCGTCGCAAACTAAACTAGCTGAGACACCAGTGCTGCTACCCACAGCGACACGCTGTCACTCACATTTAGCCTCTCTACACTTGTTGCCTCTTACTTTTACAAGCATTATACCACAGAAATAGATTTCTAATTCAACAGTCCATCTGTCTCCTCAGCTGCTCTGCAGTCAGGAGCAGACAGGCCGGACCTGGTGCCAGGGCCCACACAGCACTCACATGGAAGGATGGAGGCAGACTCAGTTGACGTACTGCACAGAGCGAGGCGCGAGAGACCAGCAGACATTGTCTCCAGCTCTGGTCAGTGAGGGGCGAAGAAAGGCCGTAAATGTAAACATGATATCCTGGAGAAGACATGCTGTTTAAGAAAACTGGCATATTTGACTGTCTTTTGGCAAAGTGGCCAGGTCCCTCTACTTTTATTATCTGTCTATTAATCTCATCTTTTGATAGGATATTTTTTTTAACTCCCTTGGCTCAGATTGTGTTCAATATCAGACATATTTTCCACTCAGGGTTCTGGAGGGAAGTTGCTGCATCAAAGTCAATGTGCATGGATGATACCAATTACTGGGTCTACTTGAAGCCTTCTGTTTATTGTGTAGCCTTATTTATTAAACTATTCTTAAATATAAGAGATAAGGAAGTATCATGACTTGACAACTGTTTATTTATTGGCAGGCAACATGTGCAACACATTCACTCTCTCTCTTAGAGACACAACTTAAACCCGAGTAGCCTTCGCTGGTTATTGGGAGCATTTAGAGCCTAACAGATATACAGTGCTTCCCACAGATTGACAGTGTGGCTGTCATTCCTTATTTCACTATTTCATTCTACTTAATTCTCCACCTTATTTTAGTGTTTCTTTAATCTGCATTTTCCTTTTTCTCTTTCACCCCCACCCTAGGTTGACCAGGTGTCCCACTTTGTGTGGGACTGCACAGAATAATTATCCATTGTCCTATGTCCCTCATATTGAGACTGGATTCCCACAGTTTGATTTGTTCTGCCTACCACTGCAGGACAGATGCTTTTGTGGTTTTTATACAATGGTTGTGAAGCAAGCAGGGACGGCTTAACCAACGGTAAGGAGAAATAATTAAAGTTTTACCGTGTATGTGCTTGAGCTCAGTCTTGAAGGGGAATGAGATTGTTTTTGATAAGCTGTGTGCCTCTTTTAAAATCACCTCCCAGACCGCACAGTGGAATAGTACGTTTTGGACGCTGCATTGTGACCTGGTGTCCCACCAGTGCCTCTGTAAATATGTAATGTTCTCCACGTGGTGTCTTACTGCTTTGAATCGTCCCTAATCTGTATAATGTGTCCAAGCTCTGAAATCTTTGTATAATGTCTTCCCATGTAATGTGCGTAGGGTTGGGTACTGAAACGCAGTACCAATAGTGCACCGGTTCCGACGTAAACGGTAGTAACCAGACCGAATAAGAACGAACATTTCGGTGCCTCATATCAGTGCCTGACTTTTTTTTCTTTTTTTTTTACCGCCCCCTGGTGTTCCGGTGTCAACTTGCATGACGTCAGTGCCGCTATTCAGCACACTTGTTGATCAGAACTGATAGTGAGAGGATCAATGAAGATGCCGAAGGCAAAACGCAGCGGTTTGGCTGCATTTCACGTCTAAGGATGCAGACTCTGCGACATGCAACAGATGCCATAAAACAATTGCATACAAGGGAGGTAACACGTCGAATTTGATGAAACATCTGGCGACACGTGGAGTTTATTTAAAGCCGAACAATGCACCGTGTTTGATAACCTACGTGACGTAAGGCCAAGCACTTCAGCAGCCGCAGCCAGTGTCGGCCTTGCCGGACAAATTGAAGAGACTCCCAGCCCTGCCAGTGTGGTGGTGGACACCACAGATGATGATGATGACATCAGCATTTCCTCTTCGGGTAAATCTAGTAATTTAATGCCAACCGCAAATCATGCATGTCAAGTAGGCTAGCAAACACCGTTGCTATTCAACAGCGTGAGTGACAACGTGTGCTATGTCATTAACTTAATATTGTGTTCAATTTGGCTCTGGAAATAAAAGGGTATTGTTTTTTGACAAAGTGTGTGTGGTTTCGTTTTTTTAAGTACCGGTTCGAGAACCGTTTAAGCACCGGAACCGTTTCAAAAATACCGAGTAGGCACCGCTATCGGATAAAACCCAACCATACCCAACCCTAAATGTGCGTGTGTTCTTTCCATCCCTTAAGGTCTGTGATCTGCTCATTTATATCCTTGTTGTCATGAGTGTTTTGTTTTTTAAAATTAAATAGAACATTATGTTATAAAAAGAAAAGAAAGCAGGGACAGCTATCATCCCAGGGCCGTGTAAGATGTCAATCAAACCATGCACACGTGGGTCAAGTGCAGGTTAACCTGTCTCAGTCTGTGCTACGCAACACACAAAAGGGGAAATTGTAAGTCACCACAAAGCTACAACAGAGACTGGGAAACTACTCACAACTGGCCAGAGGAAGGTGACTATAACATAAGAACTAAATAAGAACTGTGAAACTTCAGCTTCCTGTTCTGCGTACTGAATTTACTTAGTGTGGAGGTTGTGAGAGTTGCATTCAAGTCCTTCACATGCTAAAGGCCTAGCCTGCATAGCATAGTCTGTTGTGTTCTACTGAAACAACCAGAGAGCAATGCTTAGGGATTTTTTGTTACATCAACATTTTTGACTACGTCACATAATTACTAACGTGTTTTTTGAGTCAGCGAGTCCAACAACTTTCATTAAGTAGATGTAGACCAGATCATTGGTGTGTGAAACCGAAAATGCAGTTACATTAAAAGTCACAGAGTCCAACTTAACTGAGAATGAAAAAAAAAGCCACTATGCAAATACAAACAGCCTACCCAGTAAGCTCGTTCCTGCACGAGACTGATCGGGAGAGCAGCCTCCTGTCTTGCTCTTGAAGGAGGTGAAGAGGTGCTGACATAGCTCCTCCGGGATGTCATTCTCCAGGTAAGTGGCCATGAAGAGCTGGAAGCCCTCATAGTCGATGGGCTGCATGGGAGAGGAAAGAGCAAGTAGGTTAACAGACTTACTGAGGCACACTTGTGAATAAAGTTCACATCAACCACAGATGGACAACTCATTTGTTAAGACAACAAAAAAGAGAAAATGTGATGGACTTTCGGTTCAAGTTGCCCTGAAATGAAAGCCTTGATTTGGGGTGACATGCCAGTTTTCTTAAAAGTAACCGCCTCATGATGATATGGTTTGAAGCCATTAAAGTGAAATCACTCTCAATAGATTCTAAAGGCTTTAAAAGGTCAGTACATGTCAAAGTCTGGGAGACCCGTCAACTGACCACCACAGAGTATCTCATTAAGGGTAGCAGGGGCAAGCGGAGGTGCTGGAAGCTGCACCCAGACAAAACCTTAGTAATTGGAGTAAACTGATGGTTTTAAAGACAACAAAACAACGTAAAGAAAGCAATACAGACGGCAAAACATGTCATATTAACACTCCTGAGCTGTAACACTGAATATAGAGATAGAAATGTAATACTCCTTCCATTTACCTCTGGCAAATCCCCCCCATCCCCTCCCCCCAGCTGCCCCTCACACAGCCATGTGGTGGGTGCATGGCAGCATTCAACTCAACGACCCCCATGAACTCTGGCCTTTTTGCCCTGTGGCAGGGTGACAGGCCATCTGTAGCGAATAAGGCGGGGTTATGTTGTGTTAGTGGACAGAATGTGCATGCAGTCTGCTGACACAGACACCACACAGCATGCAGAGCCCTCCGGGCTGAGGCTTACTTGGTTGAGAACGTCTTGCTTCTGTTTAACAGTTGGGAACAATGAGGAGGAGAGGGAGGAAGGAAGAAAAGGTGAAAAGAGCGAGGGAGGAGTGGGTAGAAGAAGAGAAGGGGTTAGGTACTTTGTGTGAGGTAGTATCTCTGATGAGGATGTTAGCACTGGTTGGTCTTCAGCTCTGCAGGGACTGTTTGGTTCTTACTGTGCTGCACTCAGCCAGGCACACGTGGTAGCCTGATAAGCCTGAAGCTATCTGGTTGCACACGTTAACCCTTAATCAAATAAGCACAAATGTGATTCAGTAATATAGACTTTCAATTAAGATTTGCCTGCTTGGCCTCATTTTTTGTGACACACACATATTTCACAGTAGGCTACGTTCACATTGCAAGCCTTTATTGCTCAGATCAGATCTTTTATGTTTTTCTGTTCACATTATTTGTTAAAAGTGGCCCACATCAAGGTGCTAAAGTGACCCGTGACGAACATAGAACTAGAGTGACATAAAAGCCATATGAATTCAGATATGACTGTTCCCACTGAGGTCACATTGCAAAAGAATCAGAACTGTATCTGATTTGTACCACATATGAAAGTGGCCTGAAACTCAATACAGATGCACAAAATACCCATTATTGTCTGAGATGCAGTGGGCTGTCAAAGGTGATTGGGTGGATGCATGGGTCGAACAAACACAGTTACTTTCAACCTGTTTGTGTCCCGTGTGAAACCCATTGACTGTATATAATTAGTGGACAGAGCTTCTGGGTCTGTGAAGTTTCTTACACCTGCATTCTCTCTAATGGCCAGCAAATAGCTTCATTGGCTGCAAAAAAGAAGTCTGATAATATTAAGTCTCATGGAGAATTGACCCAACTTCTCACTTGATTTATGAGTTCAGTAAACAGTTTCCTGATGGGTTTATGGTCTCAATCTCTAGTTTCAGTCATCTCCATACAGCATGATGTTCATTTAGTATATGATGGTCCCATTTAGAGTAAATTAGACCATAAAGTAGGGTACGTGGCGTGGCTACCTTGTGATTGACTGGTCATTCTCAGTGAGTCCGTCCAGCTCAACGCACCAAACTCAGATCAAATTGTCAAACTAGGCAGTGCAATCGTGACATTTTCCTAAACCTAACCTTTGTTGCCTAAACCTAACCCAGTTGTTCCATTAACCATACACATGCTTCCGTATGAGATGCCAAGGGGCATGGCAAAACGGCATTGGTATTTGATAACCTGGGTATTGTCCATGCTGCAGAATTAATAATAGCAGCATGTTGGAGAGAGAATCTGATTTAACAACCAGTCTGTTGCACTTCTGCTAAACAATAAAAAAGCAAACTACCTGAACTTGATTTTGCCAAATCCTCATAACCTATATCCACCCTACATTGGACTTATAACACATCTTATGTCAGTCTAACTGAACTACCAATTTAGCATACACCGAACATTTTGCACACTGAGAGGTGAAGTGAAAAACACTGGTTATCATGGCTCCCGTCAGTGGGTGGGATATATTAGGCAGCAAGTGAACATTTTGTCATCAAAGTTGATGTGTTTGAAGCAGGAGGGCAGCGTGAGGATTTGAGCGACCTTGACAAATTGTGATGGCTAGATGACTGGGTCAGAGTATCTCGAACCTGCAGCTCTTGTGGGGTGTTCCCGGTCTGCAGTGGTCAGTACCTATGAAAAGTGCTCCAAGGAAGTAAAAGAACCGGAGACAGGGTCATTGATGCACGTGGGGAGTGAAGGCTGGCCCGTGTTGTCCGATCCACCAGGGTGCCCAGGTGGTCATAATGTTATGGCTGATCTGTGTATGCTCCCAGAGGAGGCAATCACATTAGGGCTGCAACATTTATTTCTATTACTTATCAATTTGCAATTTTTGATTAAACAATTTTTTCACAGTAACAATCCTTAGACTAAACAGTTTTTAGTCTAAGGATTGTTACGGTGAAAAAATTCCACCAAAACTTCAAAGACCCAAGCAGACATCTTCAAATGTCTTGTTTTGTGCTAAACCCAAAGATATTGTGTTTATAATGATAAATGATTAAGAAAAGTAGCCAATCCTCTCAATTGAGAAGCTAGAACTGCAGAATTTTGGGCAATTTGTCACACTTTTCAATCGAGTATTGGTTACCGGAGGAGTTGTTAATTATATTTCTGTGGATCGACCAATGATTAATGGACTTATTATTTCAGCTCTAGATCATATCACTGCCATCAATGTTTGGCAGTTCTAGGTGCGTTGTGTGTGGTCAAGATTTCCTCTCTGGTTTTAAGCAGAGCTGGTGCTAATAAACTAAGCAAACATAATAAGGCTGTAGTGTGGGCAAACTCCTTTCCTCTCAGGGAACATCTGGTTCACACCAAAATAGGACAAAGAAAAGCTGATCCCTTTTGTACGTCAAGACTTAATGGAAATATGCTCTTTCTGTTCAGCAGGTTTGAAGCTGCTGTAACTGACGCTCCATCACAGAAGAACACACCGTGATGAGGATCCTCCCTCAGGCCAGCAGTGTTGACCTAACCCTGAGAGCTCCCGGAGCCAGCCAGGCATTATTCATATCACTCTCCTCTCCTTATTTGGCCAAACAAACCATGAGGCTTTCATTTGCTGTGCAAGTTCAGACAAATATGCTCATGTGCCATAGAAAACACACACACGTCTGTCCACATAGTACACTACAGGTTATGAAATCATAAAATACAAAAAGCAGTGCTTATAATTTGAAAGATTTCCTTGAAAGTTAGTACACCCAGACGCATCTGTGGAAATTCCTGTCCCCAATGGAAGACACGTTCGCCCCAGAGTCTAAGCAACGATTATCTTCCCCTTGAGCGGGCTCACATTCAAGGCTGCCAATCTGCAGCTATGACACATTTACATGGTTCATTTAATCTTTTACATTTCGGGCCAGGCTGTCAGAATGATTTGATTGACTTACTTTTGACAGTAAAAGGTAGGACTACGGGTCTTTTCAAATCCCTTTTCAAAACGGGCTTCTATGTGAATTTATACAATATGTCTTGTGTATCCTTATGATTTTTTTTTTAATCTTTCTTAATTTCATTTCAGCACATGCTGCTATGTATTGTGTTTTTTTCACCTGTGTGTTATGTTTTTAATCTTTTTAACAGTATCTCTGATTACTGGGGTGTTTATGATTGTATTCTGTCCCCCTTTTAATCTTTTTTTGCTGCAATTTTTGTGTGTGTATGTAAAGCACTTTGTAAACATTGTTTTTAAAAAAGTGCTATACAGATAAAGTTGTTATACTATTATTAGAAGTTGATAATTACATATTGTATATATTGTATGATATGTCGATAACGTAATTATCATGACAGGCCTGTGTTTGATAATAAAATAAGAGATTTCTATGTGACATCATCAATTATGCTACAGCCAAATGACACAGTGATAAATTCATCATGCCTGATGGAGCCTTTAACTGCTGTGAAGTGGGTGTAATGTACAGCCTCTGTCTCGCAGTAGCTCATCAATCAATGAGAATTATGGTGCTACTGTTTGTTTGCTAATCTGTTCAATGAAGAAAACCCTACACTACTGACAGCGAAAAGTGTCAATCATCGTTCTTTCTTTTTATCCATTGTCCTTAATCCGCTTTTTTAAACTCCTCCAGAAAAGGCAGAGCCACGCTTAGGCTAAAAATAAGCTCAATAAAAGCTCTAAGCGGGAAGAAAGAGAGGTCATAGTCTTCTTTTGTCACCAGCTGGCTGAGTAGATTCCACTACAGCTGGCACAATGGGCCGATGAGTCATTAGAGGCGCACGCGCACACAGATGGATGGCAGAAGGAGGGGCATAGTGGTCACGGTGGCGCCAGGTGACTCAGAAAGACCACACTAAGACCACATTAAGTCCGGTTCCTACGGCGCCAAACGTCCAGCCGGGCTGTTAGTCATGTCATCACAAATACTGAGGAAGAGCTTGCAGAGAGGAGGTGATAGTGAAGAGGGAGAGGAGCAAGAGGGGAGGAGTGAAAAAAAGGATGCCATGAGAGGGAAGAAATGTATCACGAGGTGGGAAAAATGATAATAGTCACTGTCATAAAAATGACATGGATGTGCAGGATGGGCAAATCCAATCCAATAATGTGGAGGAGGAATTGGACGAGAAGGCAGACATGTCTGGACTGGACACGGCTGTATGCAAATGTTAATTAATTCTCAAAACACTAGTGTGAAATTGATTATGACAGGGTTAGAGTTTTAGGAATTATGAAACATTGACATTTATGCACCACTTTGTCTGATCTGTAAAATGCATGTAAAAGTATCATGTAACTGGCCTTCATTACCTGTATGATTATCAGTCACGAAACTTGCAATACATAATTTTTTCCTTTATAATATTAAATGCATAATTTTATAAAAATCACATATAGACAAAGAGAAATTCAAGCCTGCAGGCTGATACTGCAGCAGTCTGTAACCTCTGTGGGTATATACAGAGAATGTGCTTTGGACAGAACAAAACAAATTAAATCTGCAGTAGGTAACTTTTATAAAAAAATTACTTTTTTATCATAATTTTGCTGAAACTTTCACTATATCCTGACCGTACTACATGTCGATCAGGTTCCTGATCCTAGGCTCCTCCTAGTGCTCCTAATGGTATTTGCACAAATCTACCGGGCCTGAACGAAAACAACCAATCAGAGCTTGTGGCTTAAAGATAGTTGATTGTTGAGTCTCATTCCAAGCGTAATCAACTATCCTTCTTGACTACTTCATAGTTATTCTTAGTGCCTGCCTCCAGGTTGGATTCCTCCGTAATCAATTAAATGAGATGGTAGAAACACCGCCACTTTTGTCCAAAGGGGCTGCCTGTATTATCAGCAGCAAAATATACTTAAAGTACCAAAAGTGAAAGGCCCATTTAAGAATAATATTTGACATATCCCTAGATTATAATGATTGATGCATTAAACATCCAGTGTGTAGGATTAACATTCCTCCATCCAGGGAGAAACTACAGTGGCTGCAAGAAGTCCAAAATACATGAACACCCCTATCTAGAGCCAGTGTTTGTCCCTTCAGGGCTACTGTAGAAATGGCCATTTCTAAGGTAACAAAAACATAACAGTTCCTATATTCAGGTGATTATACACTAATGAAAACATAGCTATGAATAATATATTCAATTTCTGACAATAGATCCTCCTAAATGTTACACACTGGACCTTTAAGTACAGTTGTTAAATAAATGTACTCTAATTATGTTACAGACAGAGAGAGAGAGATGTGAGTCCAAAACTGAAAAAAACCAAAAAGTCAAAACCCTGTCCATAGTTCAAATGGTGGTATAAAACATTCTGCAACGAGTGCTGCAGCCACTGCAGTCTACAGTCCAGGTGGGAGCTGACCTGCTGACATCAGGCGCCAAAGTTAACACTGAGGGTGTGTCTAATCATTCCGTCACTCGATATCACACTGAATCAGACAAAGTTAACAAGCGCCCCATGACGTCACACCATGTGTTTGTGTGCCCACGGACAGTAGCTGTGGCAGAATGAGACACAATATCGACCAGAATGTGACAAAAAACGATCAAAGTGGGTGAAGGATAGTGGAGTGGGGGATTGTGGCACAGACACACCTGCTCTGGATTGTATTTGGAAAGGACGCCTTCTCCGTGAAACTCCTCCAACACATCCTTCAGCTTCTTTGTGGAGTCTGAGGAGGAAAAGGAGAAAAACAGGACATTGTTATTATATGTACTGTAATGTATTTGCTTTGATACACTTCTGAAAACCTTGCAACCACACAGAGAGCAAAACGGGCTCCATCATGAGTACATTTCCTTAAGCAGTTTTTATAATCATATCTCTGAGTGGAAATGTTCCTGTGGATAAAATGCTTTCTCAAAAACGGAATAAACATGCTGCATCTCATTAACGGTTGCCCTGTTAAATACTAATCTGTACTAGTACGGGAAAGTGCTGCATCAGTTGAGCTGAGCCTGTGAGTCACCCTGTTAGTGAAAAGTAAAAAGGGGACATGTTGTCTTTCTCACTTTTAGATGCTAATCCCATATCCACACACACACACGTCAGAGAGCCCCCGTCCAGAACACTAACCGTAATGACCTCCTCCCACGATCGTCTGTCAGACAATTACAGGGGACAAATGTACACGTGTGCATGAACAGATCGCTTCACTACCACCATCAGCGCACACACTTTATGCATGCACATGCTCCAGACCTGATTTCACCAATCATGTCAGCTCTCATAATCAACTATGGATGACACTTCATTATTTTTAGTGCTCTGCAGCTTTGCAGACTGTAAAGCTTTCCTATTTCCGTCCTGCATTGGCTGTCCACAAAGAAGGCAAACAAAGAGGGAGAGAGGATTGTACGATCTCAGGTAAGATAAGATGAGAAATGCTTGATTAGAGAACAAAAAATGGCCAGTCTCTTGCATTAGCTGCATCCACAATGTGGTAGTGATCCACAAGAACATCACTGTCAAACGCACTTAAGTCACCAGCATTAGAAAAAATATTTATTTACAGTAAACAAATAGTGAATTAATCAATTAAAGCTGCACTAGGTAATTTTTATAAAAATATTTGTAATCATATTTGCTGAAACTTCCACTATATCCTGACAGTAGTACATCAGACAGATAATCTGTGAAAAAAATCAGGTTCCTCCTAGTTCTCCTAATGTTATTTGCAAGAATCCACCAGGCCTGAACAAAAACAACCAATCAGAGCCGAGAAAGATAGTTGATTGTTGAGTCTCACTCCCAGGGAGTCAAATACAGATGTTTTGGGACTCTGGGAATAAGACTGACAATCAATTATTTTCAAGTCACCAACCCAAAGAGTCTTTATATGTTTATGTATAGGTTGTTTTCGTTCAGGCCCAGTGGATTCTTGCCATTAGGAGCACTAGGTGGAGCTAGAGGAACCAGATTTTTTCACAGATTATCAATCTACTGTCGGGATATAGTGAAACTGTGATATTTGTATTAAAATCACCTACTGCAGCTTTAAACGAAAATAAATCAACTCCTACATTGATAATTAATCAACATTTTAAGCAGTTGTATTGTATTATAGGACTGGGCAATATAGCTGAAAGATGTATAAAATGATTAATTTTGAAAATCAATACTTTTTTGATAATTCCTTATGACCTTTTTTTTAATAAAGACCAGACACCTCATTTATAAAACGGACTTAAGATAAATTTTGATCTTTTCTGATCAATTTTGATGTGAAGTAAAACCACATAAGTAGTTCTTTTTTATAATATAATATATAATATATATATATAAGTATAATTTCCATGTCAAAGTTAGGTTTTCTTAACACTGACATGGAAATTGTCTCATCTCTAAGCAGAGTCTAGACTTGGCACAAGTCATTTTCCTGCTGGTTATGAAGGCCTATTGCAGTGTGCAAGCTGGTGGTGAACTTTGCATACCCCCACAAAGTGACCGGAATTATGGGAAACTTGTTATAGGTAAAAGTGGGGGTGCAAGATTATGGCAACTCTTCTACTATAAAGCTCAGTTTATATATTATTTATATCATATGTAAAGATAGTCAATGTGGGGGTCAGGACCCCCCTAAGGGTCACAAGGCCTTTTGTTTTTAAGGGTTGAAAGAAAACATAAGAAATATCCTACACAGTAGACCTATATAAGAATATAATATGCTAAATCCATAAAATATGTCAGTCAGTTTACTCAATAATAGAAAAGGGCTCCCTTAAGGAAAAAGGTTGGGAACCACTGCCTTACAGCATACTGCTGTTAAAAAGTACGATTAGATAATAATTGGCCTGATCAACCACCGTCAGTAATCAATAAACACTCATTATTAAACCATTCGTCAAACTAATAACTGGCAGCAGTCGATGTCAGAGAAATTTATCATATTTTAGTGTTTTGTCACCGCTACAGTAACACTAAAGTATGATAAATTTATATATACACAGCAGTTTGAAAAGTTCCCTGCACTCTCTGGGGAAAATATTACACCAAACTCACCTGTTATTATGTCACAAGAAATGTGTCATATTAAAAATGTCTTAAGTGTGTAAAAACACAGAATTCAAGAAACACAAGCTGAAGAGTGTCATATGTCTGCAGTCTTCCTGTCAATTCAGCATTAATGTATAACTGTATTCCCTACAAACTTTAGATTTTGTCCCCTTAACTCGTTCAGCATCTGTTGCACTGAGTGGGAGAAGAGCGTGGTAACCACATCTATGCATCTGGGTGTGTGTGTGTGTGTGTGTGTCTTTTGGTCCATGGCTATTCCTGACTCATTGGTGCAAGCATTATATAAGGGGAAAACGCTAAGGCAGGTGCTCTCAATTTTAAGTTAACCTGAGATTTATAGATCACAGATGTGTAAGTTACAAATTGACAACTTTTGTATGAAGAACATCTTTATAAATGATTATAAATGTATGAAGGCACAGAGGTAACCATTTTAATGTTAATGTTTTGTCATACAGTATTGTTGCTGAGTACCTCTCCACCGTGGACTGTCTGTGGATTGTTTCTTGAGGTATTACAGATCATTTGTTTCTTTGTCTCTGAGTCACAATTTTTGTTTTGGTGAAGGTGTGGCTGAGGGTTGAGGACTCTTAAAACCTGGAACCAGCTCATTGGGCCAATCCATGTGCTGCCATGCCATCGGGGGGATTTGGGTTAAGTTAGTTTTGCTTTGTATTTAGTTGTTGTTGGCGTCCATTTTGTTTGCCCCTTGTGTATTCCCTCATGTGTCACTGTATCAGTCCCGAATATACTTTTCCCCATAAGCTTGAGTTGTGAACAACAAGGCAGTTTCTGTAATTAAAATGATTACACCGCAACACAAAACTCCACTGATAATAACTGTTACTGCAACCAGGAACGTCTTACTTAAACAGTCCCAATTGGGAGTATTGTTTTTATTTTTTTGCATTTATAATAAAAACTCTAGTAGTTTGGTGAGGTATGGCTCAACATTTTAGGACTGCTATGATTGATCAAATGTGCAAGGTCACACAGAATTCTGAGGGATTGGTTGAATTTGCATTAAATGTTGCAATCACAGTGTCCTGGAGGGACTGATTAAGAGGCTGCAACATAATTTTCACTATCGATAGATCTTTGATAATTTCTCTGATTGGTCATTTAGTCTATAACGTGTCAGAAAACAGTGAAAAATCATCACATAAGTGACATTTTGTCTGACAGACAGAACAGTAGTAAACAGCAGAAGGTTTCAGTTCTCAGTTTTATTGCTTTTTGTTTTGTTTTTTAAAGCAGTAAATCCTTACAGTTGAAACACTGCAACCAGAGGCTGTCTGGCATCTCCGCATTGTAAATAACTTAAATGATTCAGCAATTATCTAAATTGTTGTTGATGAATTTCAGTTTTTCGACTAATCAATTAATCAACATATTGCTTCAGCTCTGACTGATTGTATTAGGCCTGCAACTAATGAGCATTTTCATTATCAATTAATCTGCTGATTATTTTCTCAATTCGTTGATTAATCGTTTTGTCTATAAGATGTCGGGGAAAAAAGTGACAAATGCCCATCACAACTTCCTACAGCCCAATTAGTTTTGTCCGACCAACAATCTGTAACACAGAGACATTTAGTTTACTATCATATAACACAAAGAAAACCATCAAATGACATTTGAGAAGCCAGGACCGGTAAATGACTCAAATGATTCATCAATTACCAGAATGGTTGCAATTGATTGATGAACTAATTGTTTCAGTTCTATTTGATTATATGGCTTATTAATGACACTAGCCCTTTAGCCTGATGGTGCTGCTCCCTCACATACACCTATCTCAAGAGGAAAACACAGCTAGTGCCCTTCATTATGTCCTTGATTGATTGGCTGCTGATACACAAGCCTCCCTGTCTTTCCACTCCTCTCCGGCAGTAAAAATGAGACCTTCCCAGCCTGCAGGGGCCTTCCCAGTGTGCACATTTGTCATGTTTCCATTATACTCCTCTATCTCTACTGCGAGCTGCCTCATAAACTAAAAAGCCTTGCTAGATCACAGCAACAGCAACAGGACTGGGCCGAGGATTAGCCTAGATTATTTCCTCCTGTGCAGGGTCTTATGGAGGAGACCCACTGTAAGCAAACAAATCACATAACTGACCTCCGCCACAGTCATGCACTGCAGGCAAACACTAAACTTCCTGTCCCTCCACTATAGGTCACTTTTTCACGTAATCACTACAGAGTTTCCAGACAAATAAAGTAAAACTTTTCAACGCAAATGAATTGTTATTAAAAGTTAGTGTTGCCCATTGTGGCTGTTTGGGAAAAAAGCACACTACTTCAAGTGCAGTTCTCACCAACCATTAAGTACCAGTCGGTGTCGTCCGCCCTCAGGGAACAGCACAATGATGCAAACTAGAAGCTGCACTAGAAAACATATTTGGACAAGCAACAAAGGTGAGATCTATGCTTTAGCAGAAGTGTTTTCAAACAGTGTTTTTTGGATTTATCCGCATCGTAGATGAGACCGTCCCTAACAGGGCTAAGGCCACCCCAGGCAATGGAAGATGAAATACTGGATATTTGGTCTAGTCTAAGGCTAAAGAGACAACTGTCAGGCCATGAAAACACAACATGATGCAACCCACTGCAGGTTAAGAGGTCAGAAGTAGTTCTTAGATTCCCCTGTGCTCATTGAAAATCTGATTTTAAGAGGTGAGGCCTACCAGCAGGATTTGTGACATCATAAATAGTTTGAAAGTCAACCCTGGTCCAGTATCAACTTGTACAGTGTGATGTAGAAACTTGAAGCCACCAGTGCACATCCACTGAGAATGGACTTTACAGTGAAGTAGGAGACATCTTGTGCAGGAAAACTTTAGAAATATCTTTGAATATTTGAATATTCAAAGATTGTGGAAGTTTTAATGAGGTAGAAGGAGGAGATTACTGTTTAAGGATTTTAAATGGGAAATTAGACTTTTGTTTGTGGAAAAAACATATTATATTATATAACATATTATTATTGTTCCAAGCTGACTATTTGTGTATGTTTTTATGTCATTCTTACAGCTGATACCATCAAATTATACCACTGGACATGAAGAAATACTCAGGCAACTGACACCAAGCCACTGGCAACCAAATCAAGCAACACACAGACACAGCCAGGAAGAAAAAGACAGGGGATGAGCTCTTCACTATTGTTTTTAATTGCAGTTATTAACTATTAACTAAAGGTAGCCTCCCTCCTGCACATACACAGCACTTACAACTGCTTACTGTATCTTTGTAGAGAATATTCTGTCAATGACCTTCCAGTCAATCAGTGCATCTGACACAATGACCTGTTATGGCTTTACTTCATGTGGGTCTATAAAACAATGATTTATGCGTGATTGTGTAATTCCTCAACAGAATAGCTTGCGTGAGAGAGTCATTCTCTATTCATCAGCCGTAATGACAGGCACAATCCACCAGCAACCAGAATACAGATGCTCTTTTGACTAACAAATGTGGTTGCTAGTGAGGGGAGAGATAGCCACAAGGCTCATCCAGCAGGCTAATAAGTGGCATTCTGGAAAAAACATGGAGAGTAATGTGACACCAATCATCCCGGCTGAGGTCCTGGTCCAGTATTTGTTTTCCTGTTGATTTTAGAATTCTTTCATAACTGAGTCCCAGGAGTGAACAAATGTCACTAGTAGATGGTCACTGGTACAGAAACTGAACACATACAGAAAATAATAGTTGAGTGATTGGAAGTAACTTTAGTTACCAAAACAACTGGGTTACAAGGTGAAAACTAAAAAGAGCCAGTAAAAGAAAAATGATAATGTTAAATATACATTTTAAGGGCAAACAAAACAATGCTTGCTTATGTAGAGCTTTATATATCTTAGTAGTGACATGTGTGGCTTGTGTATGGAAGCCCAGAGAGGCAAATGAGAAAAACATTCTGATCAATTTTCTGGTACAAATGTAAGTTCCTTTAATTTTTTTTTGTTTTGGCCACAAAATGCTGAAGCATGTCACTACCCCAGTACCCACGTGTTTTCTTCCAGGTGAATTCTCTCTGCACTTGCAGGTACATACAAATATTAGCCATAACGCATATTATTCAGCCCCAGACCAACAGACTGCTCTGCACTATGTGTTCTGACACCTTTCTATCAGAACCAGCATTAACTGTTTCAGCAGTTTGAGCTACAGTAGCTCGTCTGTTGGATCGGACCACACGGGCCAGCCTTCACTCCCCACATGCATCAATTAGCCTTGGCCGCCCATGACCCTGTCTCCGGTTCTTTTCCTTCCTTGGAGCACTTTTGATAGGTACTGACTGCAGAGCGGGAACACCCCACAAGAGCTGCAGGTTGGAGATGCTCATTTTTCCTGCTTCTAACACATCAACTTTGAGGACAAAATGTTCCCTTGCTGCCTAATATATCCCACCCACTGACAGGAGCCATGATAACCAGATAATCAGTGTTATTCACTTCACCTGTCAGTGCTCATAATGTTATGGCTGATCAGTGTAGATTGTGTCTTTCTTTTGGCCTATTTAGAACACGGGGTAGTAGTGCACCTCTGCCTCTTGTGGCCAAAATGAGTATTACAACAACATCAACAAATAAGAAAAACGCCCTTTTCCCCACTTTTGCACTTGTCAAAACATTTTTGTCAATTATTTTGAAAAATAACTTGTTTCACTTGTTCTTAAGTCATAAGAAGAGAAAACTATTTATATCAGTATAGAAAATGGATCACCAGAAACTTTTTTTCTCACTTGCCTCACATGGCTTCCGTACTTGTGGGACTGCATACCACTTTCAAATCCATTGATGTACTCTTTTGAATTTGGTTTGCATAAAGCCTTTAACACGCTATAACACGAATACCACAATATTTAGTTTAACAAACAAAGATTATCAGTAGCATCAGCTACACCCACCCACCCATACACACACACACGCACACACACACACACACACACACACACACACACACACACACACACACACACACACACACTGTATAAGACAGACAGACAGACAGACAGATACACACACACAAACAGAAATTCATCATCCAGCCACGATCTCCCACAATCTCCAACACACACACACACAAGAACAAAAACAAATGTGGAACCCCCAGATTCAGACACGTGGGTACTCACACTCGCTGTATTGTTGCAGCTGGCCGAACTCAGCTGGGCTCAGACATACCCAGCTCCCGTCTCCCATACTGCCTGAAGCCAGGGCCGGGGCTGTGTGTCTGAGAGTGCGTCGGTCCACGAGTGCCGCCAGGGGGGTTGATGGTTATCCTTGGGTCAGGTTGTGTAATAAGACTGAGGCAAAGAGGTTTTGGGATGTCATCTCTGCCTCTTTACAATAAGCACCTTGCTAGCACACGGGAGGTGAAAAGTTGATATATCTGAGGCCACGTGAGCACTGGAGGAGGCAGAGAACTGGTGACAATGTTCAATTGAGTGTTCAGCTGAATATTGCTGAGGTGCTCCAGATGTTGAATTTGTCACAAAACAAAAGGATATATGGTCTCAGTAACTAACTAGTCCTAATGACTCGGAGATGGCACAAGGATTCTCAGCAGGTCTGCAACAGCAAACACCTTCTCTGACCTGGAGAGAGAGAGCGAGAGAGAAGCAAACACGTAAATTAACGTGCCATCATCGTCATTCTCTGGACTGTATATAAAATATAAAATGTATGAAACGCTTTCTATCAGTAGTACAGAAAAATCTGTAACATCTCAAAGTCATTTTACAGATAGAAGGAGGGTGGTTGAAGGGGAAGAGGGACAGAGGCAGTGAAGATGACGGCACAATATGAACAAAAAGAGATTTACAGCAGAAAGTGGCAGCAGGCGAGGAGTGATGGAGCATCTGCACACTGAGGAGTGTAGTTTAATCACTGGCCTGAATTTATAGTTTTTAATCTAGTGCACTGTAGTTATATTGTTGTTCAATTGCTACAGCGGATAGAGACTGAAACAACACTGATACAAATTAAGTAGAAAATACTATATATTTACAGCAGTTTAATTCAAACACTGTCTCTTTTTATTTCAGAAAATGTCAATTCTTATAGTAAACAAGATTTTAAATTAATTTATCCACCGAGCCTGCTTCTGTATATAAGAAATGTTTTCTGTGTAGACGCAACAAAGGCATGCTCTAACAACACAGTCTCACTCCCAACTCATCAAATACTGCCGCTTGGTCAGTGGCCCTCCGCTTCAAATATATGACGCTGCAGTATTTGGCGGCCTGGGAGGGACACTGGGTCGTAAATTTGATGGCAGCATGTCTTTTTCATGACAGAGATTTTGATGAATCAGGAAGAATGGCACAGGTATAACTAATGATGTTATCTACTGCTGCACACCAGTTTGCTATGTCAGGTTCTGGGCCCTGGCTTGCTTTGTGTATGCTGGCTCACTGGGACACTTCAATATATATAAGTTGTACCTCTTCTGATGAGTCTAAATGTTTCTCTATAAAAAGAAACCTCAGGGGCCGTTCAAATGCTGTGTCTTTTGTGCTTGCAAATTCATTATTTTGTCATGATGCGCTTTACCTTTTCCAAACAAGGACATAACAACATTTGGTTAAGCCAAACTAAAGATGGAGGAGTAGAAACGTAGCCATAGAAACGTAGATATCTCATTGGCCGCTGCTGTATGCCACCACTATACGTCTGTGCGATCGCCATATTGGGGAGGTCAAGATCCACTAGTTAGCAATACTGAGAGATGCAGACTGCACTACAGTATCGACTGTAACTCGCTTAATTCTGAACCAGTTTTCATTAAATTTGGTTTGTTGTGAACACGATAAAGTGAAGGTGATACTGGTTGCTTGTAGGAATGAATCCAGTCATTAGGGGTGGATCTAATCAGCTCTATGCCAAAAAAACACAATATCTATGTTTCTATATCTGTGGAGCAGCAGATTATACTCTTCCAGTACCCGGAGCTGTACGACCTGCTGTTGTTTTTACGTTACTAACTAGTTGTGCTAGCTAATGTTAGCTCATTTACTTTGTGTGTGGGGGATTCACGGTGCTGGAAATCCATTTATGTTTGTTTGCCTTAGTTTAGTCAGTGAGGCTTACTGCTAAATTACCAGAACTTTTTTTTGCATCATCGTGATGCAGCCTGCAGGTTTTGGTTGCTTAGTAATGACAGGAGCGACAGTAGCGCAACCTCCCAAGGGCCTTGGATGAAAGGATGAAAACAGCACAGCTGGCATTTCTCTTTTGGTTTTCCACCCGTGTTTAGACGCAACATGTCAACAGCCACTTATACATTCAATTGAGAAAGACTGATGAACATATCAAGCCACAGCAGTGGCTAGTGGATTAGAGACTCTTCTGAAATGAACAGGTTTCTGTGTAGTGTAAAGAAATATGGATAATGTGACCTACAGTATGATGGCTCCAGAAAGGATCCTTGCTTGTGCATTCTGTGTAAGTTGTAGATCAGGAGAGTACACATAGTTCCAAGAGAGAAAAGATAAAAGCAAACAGACCAAGGGAATTCTAGCCACTGCTTTAAATTTAATGCACTTCTGAAAGTACCCAGAATGTCTGTGTTTTTGGAATTTCTGTAGTACCTAAAAAATAACTAATACATAAAACTGCTTTTGTTGATTATAAGTTAATTATAATACTGAGTGAAAGTATTAAAATTAGGAATGTCTGATAATATCGGCCGATATTCACAAAAAAATGTAATATCAGGAATTATCGGTATCGGGTTTTTATAACCGATGTTTGTTCTGTAGGCTTCAGCATTTCCGAGCCTGCATGAACGCAGCATGGGACGTTTACTGGCGCGCGCTAGATGACGTATAACAACAACAACAACTACTAGACTGGTTGGTTGCTAACCGTGGCTAACAAGCAAACAATTTAAAGCTGAATGATTTTAATATTAACACAAAATAAGTGCAATGTACCTTAAATATCTGACCCTGCTATGAGCTGTTCCTTAACCAAACTAACAATTGGCTTAGAATTTACATTAGCACTCCTTCAGGTGCATAATACAATTAAACACATTAACCAAAGCTAGCACGTAGCTAGCGATTAGCATTAGAGCTCTTTTCAGTATTAATACAATGAAAGTTGAAGTTGTTCTCTTATTTTGCACAGACAGTGTTTACATTTAGAAAGCCATGTTGCATTTATGTATGCATCCAGTGGGGCATCACAATAAAATGAGGCATAATGTGTTAATTCCACAATAGGAGATATGTTATGTTGTTACCAGTTGTTAACAGTTTTGGTGTAAAAAGCCTGCATATATCAGTATCGGGTGATATCGGTATCTGAAATTGAGAGTTGGACAATATCGGAATATTGGATATCGGTAGAAAAGCCAATATCGAGCATCCCTAAATCCCCCTTCTGAAACTATGAGACACTTCACCTAACCTTGAACTATACTGAAAAGACACAGTTGGTCTATTTTTAAATACTGCCATAGCTCTCAGTACTTCCCCTGAGAACAGATCAGTATCATTTGATTGTGGTCAGACTCAATGAAAACAGTTTGCATAGAAAAAGGTTGTATAGACAAACACACCAGACTGAGATGAACTGTTGTCACGAAACAAATCTCTATGGAATACAGTCTCTGTAACATCTGCCTGTTAAAGGATATTCTTATTCTAAAATTACATGATAATCAAACCCACACTGTTTTAAGCTTTGTGACTTCCCTACCATGTCTGTGGCTGTGCTACAGTCGGTGTCAGTTGAACATTGTTATAGCAACCCCTACTGGCAGACTTCCACAACAGTTTAACTGACGATGGCTGTATCCGAAACCGCCTACATTCAACTGACAAACGCACTTCTTCCCATAGTAGTATGCAGAATGAAACTGTTCAGTCAATGTATTTTGCAGTATGCTTGTAACAGTTTTGGTCCGTGTTTCTTGGCTGAGCTTGAAGAAAGCGGAAAAAGACGTCAGTCATAAACTCACCGCCACGCTGGCACTGGAGTTTCCACAATCCTCTTTGTTTATTACTAACACCTGAACCTTATCAAGCCCGGTACAGCTATTTTATCATACATAACAAAACTGAGGCCACACGTGATCCAAACGTTACGCTTGAGTTGAGAGGCTAAAGAAAAACAGAAGCTCAGCGATGGACATCCATCCATAGCCGGTACACTGCTCAACTAAGTATCTTAAAGGCACATTTCACAATTTTGCCTGTTACATGCTAGATGGGCTTAGCTGGTTTCTGGTTTTGGAAAGCAATTTCATGTTTCATAAGGTGACAGACTGCCAGAGCGGGTAGTGAATAGTAAACTTTATTCACCTTTTGACTTGACTTTACTACCAGCTGTACGGAGTAAAGGGTTTCAACTTCTCTCTAAAACTCTTTGTTTATTCTTGATACAACTATTTTTTTTCCACAACCCAAACTTAAGTTGAAACCAATCCATTTAACCCTTTTGTCATTTAACATTTAACTCTTGTTACTGTAATAAATACATTTTACATACTTTTATTACTATAACTACTTTTATATTGGTATTTTTTAGATTTGTAATCGCTATCATTGTGTTTTATCCAACACAGTTGACTTTTTCCTCACAATTCCACTTTTAGTAAAAACTACAAAGCCCTATAACTCTTTTGAACCTTTATGAGAAGTTGCATGTGTTTAGCACATTCAGTATTTTATTTGTAACAATGCAGCAGGCTAAACACACGTCCACTGGGGGCCTGGGCCAGTAGCACGTTTCCCCACTGAAAAAATATGTCATTAAAGTTATACATTTAGAAATCTTTTTTTTTTTTTTAAAGGTACGGTTATGACCTAAAATGGCTGCTTTGTAGTTTTTAGCAAATGTTCTCAAACTTGGACTTAATGGTTTATTTGCTGGGGACTATTTTTAACTACAGAGAAATACACCTTTAGTGTGCTAGTGAGTATTTAAACCAGTGTCATGACTGGTTTAATGTGGAAGTGACTCAAAATAAACAGTGCCTGAACAGTCACTATAGTAGTGGTCAGATTGTTAGCGACACCAGAAACTTAAAGTCTCAAAATTATTTTAACTACTTGGTCTTTTATAAAGATTTGAGTCATTCAGTGAATTGCTGTTTCAAAGCGTTCTCCACATAAAATAAAATTGTTAGTACAGCAGGATCAATTCATTATTGCTTTTGTATTCTTTTAAATAAGAAAAATAAAGAATATCACCCGCCTTATCCTTTAAACCTCCATTTTCTCCTTTTACCAGGCTTTAAAAGAGAAGCAGTGTTCTTACTTTCCCGCTTAATATCCTTCCCCTCTCCTTTATCAGCTGATCTCTTCACTCCTGCACTACATGGTAGGTGGCATGTACTAATGGGCTGTACAGGTTTAGTGATGGTACTAACGCAAAGGGAACAAAGGGTAGATGTATATGCTGTGAGCGTGTGACGGGGCCTCCCCTCTGTGCAGAGAGGGATTCTGTTTTGCTCACGAGGTTGCCCGGCAACTATGACGTCACTGGAGTGCACGACCAACAGCAGCACCATGCCAGAGATAGACAGAGAGGCAGAGGGAGGGAGAGATCACCAGGATACTATGAACAGATGTAACTACATGATATGCATCAATTCTGTGCTTGTGTCCTCGAGATGAGTTTGTCTGCTTTCACCACAAACCATATGAAGTCTGTATCTAACCACAGAATAACAGTTCACTTTCTTAAAACAATGGTTTGACAGTTTGAGAACTGTGCTTGCTAGTTCTCTAGCAGAGAGTCAGATGAAGATCAGTACCACTCTTACATTGTATTTGTATGTTAAATATAAGTCTAAAGCTGAGAGCCGGTTGGCTTATCTTAGCGCTAAGATTGGAAACAGCTAGCCTCGCTTTGTCCAAGGCAAACATAATCCGTCTATCAGCACCTCTTGGGTTGTATTTTGTTTGTTTAATTTGTGTAAAAGTAAATAAGTGTAAAACAACGACAATTTGGTTATGTTTTTGGACCATTTCTTGGTTCGATGCCAGCCTCCAGGAAGAAACTGCAGAGATACGATGGAAAGAGAAGTAGGAAATGTGATGGCAATACAGAATCTATGTTTGATTAATTTGAGGAACATTACAACCTGCTCACCACTTCACACAGATCTAATGTTTTCATCTGCCACCATTTCTATCATGCTTTGTTTAAGTCACGTTTTATAAACGTCATGATGTATTTGCTAAGTCTGTTTCCATTGTACCAACCTTTTCCACCTCAGCCAAGCAGGAAAGATTTTGGGGATATTCTTATTCAAACTTTATGCGTTTCCGCTTAACTTTTTGCACAAATGGAAATCTGCAAACCTTTTGCAATGCACAGGTGAACTGCAGGTGATGCAAGGACAAAGTGGGCTCCTAATTAATAATAATAATAATAATACATTTTATTTATAAGCGCTTTTCTAAATACTCAAAGACACTTTACATAAAAAAAAATTAAATTAAATTTTCAATTCAAGCAGTCAGTGCCGCAAAGCAGGGACTTAAGACAATAAGGAACTACAAAGGGAGAACCTCCTCATGGTCTAAATCATTTCTATCCATGCTTGGAGGCTAAAAGTATTAGCGCTACCCTAGAGTCCCACGCAGCAGAAGTGAACTTCCCACAAAAAAATTAGAGGGTGGGCGGTCTTGGAGCATGTTGCGAGGAGGGTTTTCAGCAGTGTAAACACCTGGAAGGCAGCAGCACCAGGTAGTATCCCTGGTCGTATACTCAAGACCTGCACTTTCTAGCTAGCACCAGTATTTAAGACCATCTTCAAATTCTCTCTGGTCCAGTCTGTTATCCCCACATGCCTCAAAAAGTCCACAATTGTCCCTGCACCCAAGAGCTCCCGTCAATCCTGGCAGAATGACGACCGTCCAGTGACGCACACCTCTGTGGTCATGAAGTGCTTCAATCAGCTGGGAAAAGACCATCTGCTCCTCAGTTTCCCTACTGACCCAACAGGTCAACTGACAACGCCATTAGCTGCATACAGCCCTTACCCATCTGTACAACAGGGAGGGGAACGGCTGTTTTAACCGTTCACCACCGGGGTCATCACCAAGCCTATGCACCCTTTAGTACTTTACCACTTAATGCAAATGGTTGTCTTTGTCAGCCGTGGAATTTGTGTCCACAGACACTTGAAAACATTAAACACCTGCACTGTGGACAGTTTACTGTCAGGGAACATCAGCGCACCCAGCAGGACCGCAATGGCCTGCAGAGAGTGGAATGGTCCGCTGGACGGCCTACCACCAGGCGTTGCACAACCAAGGCCAGTAAATTCTACAGGATTTGAGGAATGGCCTTTTAGAACTATTGCAGTCAGGGAAGCGCTACCGCAGCCATACAGTCAGAACGGAGAGGCTAAAGAGGAGCTACCTCCTTAAAGCCACCTTGAACTGCCAGGATTCCAGACAGTCCCCTCCGCTACATCCCTTTAATATCTACACCATATTTAATATTTGCACCGTATCTGATATTTGCACAAAAGCAAATAAGCATATTTTCCAAAATACAAAAATATTGCTTTAAGGTGTCTCTCTGGCTTTTAACTCATTCTCAATAATAAGCGAGTGAAAACAGACCTGAACAAAAGGACACTCAGTTGTATGAGCCTCCTTCAAATCTGCTGCCTCAGTGCTTTGGTTTTAACAAGGGTCAGTGACTCACAGTCTCTTGGTGTTAAGAAAGAGACGGAAAAAAGAGAGCAGTTATTTACACCTCCATGGCACATTATGTTCATTACGGCGCTCCATCTGTTTCATTCTGAAAAAAACGGTGGCACCTTAGTAAACCAGGTGTAATGTGTTTTTTATTTGTCTAGAAAAGGTTAGTCAACACTGAAAAATGAATGAGAAGCAGGTCATCTTTGAATGTGTTCACACAACATGTGTATATCTTTATAATATGATCCTATGATTATATTGCAACCAACTGAAACCCCTTGACTCAACAAAGCATGCAAAGACAAAGTACGGTGGCCGCGTTGCTCCTCAAAACGCGACAGGCCCTATCTAGAGCCCATGTTTAGTTTGTCTATTTTGTAGAAATATGGCTATATATATATGTATATATATATATATATTAAAAATAGTCGTCTCTATAGACAATCACCCTCTGTAGATGATAACAAAAACACAACAATTCTTATTTTTAATTAATTATACAGTAACGAAAGCATAACTAATTTTTTTCTTCCTTTTTTTGGCCACTTGCGGAAACCAGCTGTGAACGCATCATTGATTTGTTGATATGGTGAACTTGTTAGCAAATAGTTGCTTATTTCATACATCCAGCAGTTACAGGGGAACATTCATTTGGAATCGTTTGTGTCCACCTGATGAACCTAAGTCCAACATTCATTTTTTTTAGCTCTGTTTTTGCTTTCTACCAATTCTTGAGGATTTGAAATATCTTCCTTTTCAGCTGCTAAATACTCCAGTGGCTCACCAGCTAGCACAATCACACCAAAACGCATTGCCAGAAATGTGCTAGCAAAACCATTACTTTCCCTTTTGTATGACAGACCTGTCTGTCTGCTTTTGGTGCTGAGCCGATAGTGTACCAGAGATTTTCACTGAAAACAGGTGCCTGCTGTGGCCAGAAACAATGAGTTGAAACTCCCTATGAAACTGTAAAGCTGACGGCTCACTATAAGCAATCCCTTTAACATTGTTGCATTATTTTAACATTGTCATGTTATACATTTTTATTCTAAAAAGATCAATTATAGCCACTTTAAATATGTTATCCCACCCAAATTCCTGTGACTAAACCCAAGGCCCATACAAGGCCCATTTAATCACGATTCATTCCAGTCTAACACACCACTCCAGTCTGCACCAAGAGGTGTTCCAGGACTTAAAGTGTGTGGAGAGAGCAGCACTGCCAAATTAGGATACTGATGATGATTACAGCGATAACACTGAAGAGAATGGAAGGTAAACAGAAGCTGGAGCTCCGACATAATAACAGAGGAAAAGAAGGAGAGAAGTCAGAATCACAGGAGTCTAGGTTAAAATTGGCGGTGCACTTTAGCATAAAACTGGAAGTAAAATGCCACAGAGGACGCCCCTAACTGACATTCCCCTGCAGAGTGTTTAGCAGGATGCTGTGGGCTAGGCAGGCCCTCACTACAGGAAGAGAGTGTGGAAGCCCTGATAGCGCCGGCAAAGCTTTCCACGCAGATACACTCTCGCCAGCGAAGCATTTTCACCCAGTGTGGGCACATCAGCGGCAGGAAACCATAGGCCTGTGTGACCATATGATTAAATGGATACGAACAGCAGCTTTTCTGTGTCAAACATCAGTCATTTTCAGCACTGAGATAATCTTCATGATCCATGCACTTGCTAAATATAGCCTTCCCGCTACAGTATAACTGGGTCGGTAGCTTACTGAACAACTCTAGAAACCTAAAAGTCGAGCCCCAGTTTGCACCTGCATTATGTGGTGGCTCCTACTGAAACACTGTGTTGTTGTTTTTTAATAGCTATAATATGTAACAATTCTGCGTTAAAATGTCTATAAGCACTAGACCTATGTTCTATATGTAGTTGTGTACTTTTTATCCAGTCTGAAGCCACATTTTTACCATCCACTGTTTAGATCTTGGTGCTTTTTAACTCTAGATTTGAAGGATGAAAGATTTTAGTCATTTGACGTCTGGATCTTAAGTTATCAGAGAAACAAGCTGAGCTAACATTAGCGACATGTCAGAGGCTCTTCGAGCTTTGTCTGCTGAACCGTGTTGGAGAAACACAGATTTTTTCTGTATTTTTACCAATTTTAATCTGCAGGTCCGTTTGTTTTGGAGAGGAAGAGACCTTTGTGGATAATTCGGCTCCCAGTAAAAACCTCTGGAACATCTGGATCTTAAGTTATCAGAGAAACAAGCTGAGCTAACGTTAGTAACAGCTCCACTCGCTGCCCCTCTGGGACGTCCTTTGTCTGCCGACCAGCATCAGAGGGGAGGGGAAACTCAGAGGGTCCGTTTGTTGGAGACCTCTGTGGATAATTGGGCTCCCGGTAGAAACAAGAAGACAAACAACTCCCATGATCCCCGCAACTTCATTAAACTTGGTCTTTTGTTGTTGTTTTGATATGAGAGACCCCCTATCAGCAGAAATTACATTACTTTTAACATACATTTTTGGGCAGTGCTTCTTGTACAGGTTTGTCAAAATGTCATTTTTGAGGCTGAAACTGTTGGATTTTATCTCAAATCTGCACTGACTCCAGAGCTCAGCCCTACGTTACACTTCAGTAAAGGCCTTTGGGTTTTAACCATGCCTGGGAAGCCAATCTTACATGTAAATTTTTATAATGAGGAAGTATGCTTAACCCAATTCGCACCCATAAAAGAAAGC